TTTGCTGGTCACTTAAAGAGGCAGGGAAGCTGGATGAAGAGTTGAGGCTTGTCTCACTTGCGAGCAGCGAGAAGAGACTGCCACCCATACCCTGTGCAATTCCCTAAATGAGCTAAACAATGCTGTGTATTCTGCGGTAACACATGCGATCGGCACATAATTGCAAGCTTTCCCGTCAGGTCTTGAACTTTGGCCTTCTGTGCCGCTGCCTGGGGCGAAGAAGTTCGGAGAGAGAAACTGAAATGCAAAGCAAACCTACGCTTTACGTCTTACGCCTTTGTCAAAAAATCAGAAACGCCCAGAAACTTTGCCTCAGCTGCTTCGGCCTTAGCCTCCTGGTAAACTCGAATAAAGAGTTCTCAGATTCTCCAACCTACTAGTTACTAGCGATGGCCTGATGTTCTCAGAATTTATGTCTTCCCTCAACCCAACATGCTGGTGTAGTTGCTGTCCCAATAGATAATGTGCATCACCTTTCATGCAACAAGGTGCAAAAAGGGGTCTCCTGAAGTCGACTCCGAAGCTGCTTCTGTCGCTCATCGGACTGTCTCAAAACTTCCCGCAGCTCGGCAGCCTCTAGAACGATTCACAAGCAAAAACTAGAAACCAGAATCTGCTGGAAAACCAACCAGCCCAAACGTCAGATCTTCCGCCTCAAGACGCATCCTGATGGTCTGGAGCCATGCGTGCATGGGCTCAACCTCCTCCTTGCACTTCTCAAACTGAAATGTGCTAGACAAAAACAAAAAGTCTATCAATAGTTGTATGTACAGGGAACGTATGATTGAAAAATATGTTCTTGTCCTGTCGGTGCTTCTTTCAAGTTTCCCCAAAAATCTATGAACCAAATGAGCGTTTCTGAAAACCTTGATGAAATCCCATGTCGTATCATTGGGCTTACGCTTGTGCTTACGCTGCCTTACGCGACTCACATGTTTGCTTACGCGGTACACTTGGAGCAAGAAGGGCTTCCGCAGACCTTACGCGACGCCTGTTTTGCACAAAATGCAGCTGACACCACAACGCGAGCTTACGCGCTCCATACTTTGTACAATGGACATTTACTACACCTAATCTTCGGATATGGATGCTGAAGAAGCACTTGAGGACGAGGACGAAGAAGAAGACTCGAAGGCAGAAGCAACCCAGCAGCAGCAGCAGCACCAGCAGCAGTAGCAGCAGCAGACTAGTAGCAGACCTGCAGCAGCAGCAGCAGCAGCAGGAAGTGGAGAAGTGGAAGTGGAAGGGCGATGCGCGCAAACCACATTGTATATAGAGGTCTTCAACCACACGCTGCCGCTGACGCAACGGTTTCGGAGAAGGAGGCATGTGGGCTACTGGTGGAAAAGGACACCGGAGCTTACGCGCGGCTTGCGCGCCGGAACTCACAAAAATCACCTGGAGTTTCTCATGTCTGACATGGAGGTTTGACTGTTCAGCTGTGGTGTTTGGACTGTGTGTGTTCAGCAATTTGAGTTGGATTGTGTATGTTTGTGGGGAGTTGGACTGTTCCTTAGTCCTAGCACTTCTGAGAGGGTTGCTCATGTATTTATCATGTATTTCTTCAAAGCTTACGCATGGCTTATGCAAAAGGTTACGCAACCTTACGCGCGTGCAGGTTTTGCTTACGCACAACTTCGATATGACAACACACTGAGTAAACATGAACACGGAGGTTTATCGAATGGCTCAAATGAATAGTGCGAGCGCTTCCTTGAAGCGTGAGCTATCCTGCGTCCACATGTAGTAGCTTCCTGTACCTAATAGCTACCTAGTCTCTACTAGCTAATTAGAAGCTTCAGGTCTTGATGGCACTGGCATAGTATTTGGTGAGATATATGTTTAGCACAGGATAAAACAGTAGTGCAAAGCAAGCATAACAATTCAGCAGTAGTAGCGATGGCCTCCAACCTAATAGCTTCTTGCTCGTAGTAGTACGGCCAGGAGCTCCTAGTAGCGTCCTTGCTCCTAGTAGCGATGCCCTTTGCTCCTAGTAGCGTCCTTGCTCCTAGTAGCGATGCCCTTTGCTCCTAGTAGCGTCCTTGCTCCAAAGGAAACACATAAAACTCTAAAAGTCAGGATGTTCAGGGCACCAATGTTGAGGGTAAACTTCACGCCGACCATTGAAAGCGTCTTTTGAACACAATATGTTGTCAAAAGAATGCACACGGTTGCGCACACACACAAGGAGATTAAGACAACTTAAGCAACATAAAGACTGGCATGATTGAAGGTAGACTGCCTATCATCTCTGGTATAAAGAGGTTCTGCTGATATTCTGAACACCAGGAGTAATCCAAATAAATCACCAATGTAGGTTTCTCTAACCTCGTGCATAAATTGATCCAAACCACATCATCTTACACCAAATATCCTAACTTTTACAGCTCACAACACGCCCTTTCCTAGACCTCTGGACCTTTCTTTTTCCTTTCTTTCTCTTATCTGGAAACCCACGTGAAAGGAAGAAAGCCTATTTGATGCACCTCGTCACGCGACTCACATCCACCGGTCCCTGCCATGGCGCTGCCTCAGAAATCACACTCTGAAAAAAGTCGTGTTTCCAGAAGCGTCAGCGACGCGCAAACCTGAGGTAATAATCGGTGGTTAAGAAAACCTAAAAGAACGTGCTTCCTTTCTTTTCTTTGTGCCCTGCTCGTCTTTAGACGTTGAAACCTTGAGACCTCTTTTTCCTTACTTTCAGGGTACAGCTCAAGGTGCCATGGCATGGCTGCGCCATGCCCCATCCCAGTATGCCACATTCTCAGCACTGAACGTCAGCTGTGCAAAAGCAGAGTGAAATCTGGAGAAATCCAGACTGTGGTTCGCAGCGCAAGTGTGTGGAGCCAAAAAGCTTTGAACTTGGAAGTATATACACCAATAGCTTGTGGCAATGAAGCAAAGACATTCGTCAAAACTTGCCACAGCTGAGTTTCCACATTTACTTACGTACCTCGTTAGTATTCATGTGCTCAATTTTCTTACCTCGCTGGCTCTTGAGGGTCACACCCTCAAGAGTGAACTACGCAACTCGAGGTGGAAGTACTTGGAGAGCAAGCTTCTAGGCCACACTCTCCACCAGAGCGGCGCGACTATGAAGGAAGAAATATTTTGTTTTTCTGTTTGCCCGCTTCCCCTACTTACTAATACCAATGGCCTCCATCCTAGAGCGATGGCCTCCAACCTAAGCAATGGCTGCAATAGATTGCAATAGAACAATTTGTTACCTCCTGTCAAGTGTCTAGTGAAAAAATCCATTTGCGCCGCTCCGTCCGTTAAAAGTCCTGGGTCCAACATAGGCCCCAGGCCCATTCATTCTGAGATGAGCGACATCAGGGAAAGTCGAACAAATTCTGTGACTGTCTCGCTCCAAGTGGACATGAAGCCAGCAATCTGTGAATCTCCCGATTAGGCGAATCAAAAACAAAGCGACATGCCCCTGCTGGCCGGTGCGGCTGCAGCCGTGGTCTGCTCTGTTTTTCTTTTGGTGCCAGCTGTGCAGCACGCTGTGCCGCAGGCTGTGCTGCAGGCTCCTCACGCATTGCAGGCTGCCACCACAGCCTCTGGAATCTGCTCGGTGGGCTGTGGCACTGCCTCTTCTAAAGAATCCTTGTTGCAATGGTCCGCGACTGGATCTTTGTCGATTCGATACACAGGGCATTCAGGTGGAACTTCCCTGCTTGCATCTTCAGGAGCTGAAGGGCCCCACCAATCCTCCACGCCAGCATGGTGAGGCTGTCCTCGGCTGCACCAAACGCGTACCCCAAGTTGCACTACACATAGTTGCAAGGAAGTGTTGTTTTGTTTTCAACATCGGAACGTCGGGCAATTTGTGTTTTCTGAGTCTGGACGCACTGTTGGCTAGAGGTTCCATTCATGCTGCAAGTTAGTCTTGTGCAAGTGTGGCACAATTTGTGATTATATATCATACTATCGATTTGGTTGGAAAAAACCTAATGAATCAAGTTCTTGGTCAGAACTTTTTTGACGCTTCTTCAACTGCTTGGCTGCCAGCAATATGCCGCATATAATGCCTCTGTATATCCATGGAAACACTCAACATCACAGCAATGTTTTGGCATGGTGTCATGTCATACTTCACCCTTTGCTGGTCAACTTACATTCCTTCACGCCAAGGCAAAGTCCGAAGAAAGTGGCTCGGTAGGCCATGGCAGATGTGGAAGTTCTTGAGTGCTTGCAGGAGTTGAGACAACCATCTATGGCAAAATCCTGTTAATTGATTTATCACCTGTCATTGGCGTCATTCAGGGTCGGAACCAAATGCTGACCGTGTACAACGGTGCAGGTTGCATAGAGAGGACATGATGTGAAAGCAGACTCAAGGCCAAGCTTGTTGAGAAGAGAAAACCTTCGGCGAAATGACACAATATCAGGCGCAGTTGTTACCCTTTTCTCATTCCTTTGGTTTGTTTTGCAATGGTTCCCCCGCATTATTGACAGAATAGCGTGTTGCTGTTCATGCTTGCAATACAGGCAATGTTGACATCTCTTGGCAAGAGACACTTTGGCGAAGAAGTCTTCTTTGGGGGTGACCTTTCTCATCACATATTGTCCACTCAGAGTCCACAGTGGTGCGTGTGTGTGTGTGTGCGCATTGGATTTTATCGGGTTGCTATTTAGCTGCTCCACTTTAAGTGTCAATTCTAGGCAATTCTTTCTTTGTTGGTTTCTGTCATGTTGCTCTTTTCGTCTTGTCTTTGAACCTGCAAACCTTTCTTTCTTCCTTGAGTATGTCTTATTTTGCTTAGGGTGGAGGCCATCGCTATTAGGTTGCAGGCCATCGCTACTAGGGTGGAGGCCATCCCTAGTCTACAATTGATCTCTTTCCTTGATTTCACAGATTGCGGTCAAGAAGTTCTTCGCTGCTTGGCTGCAATTTCATGCATATCGATGGTGAGCAGTGGGTCGGACGAGTACTGTGCTGAATATAGACTTCATGGTGTGAAGCCACCCCTTGCTTCCTTTCTTCCCTTGTTCTTTTATTTCTGTCTTTGTCTTCTCTTTTCTGACTTACAGTTACACCATTTTACACCTTTAGACCTTCCTTTTTGGCTTCCTGTCCTTCTTCCATCCTTTCTACATGAGGCGAACTGAAGTGGGCCAACATGGGATGAGACGAGATGACGTTGGATGACATTCAGTGTGAGGGGGTAGAATGAAGGTGAACATGATGACCAGGAACACCTGGAGCCTCTCTTCCAAATGAAATATTTCTCTGAAGTCTCAAGTATGTTTGACTTGCTGGATGGAGGCCCATTGTCTTCAGGGTCCCAAACAAGACACTTTTTCTTCAGATGCGAAAGCAACTCACTAAGGACAGGTCCCTCTTCCAACTGTTGCGCCTTGCTCTGTGCAACATCGTCGGTGTCCAGCACAAGTGCATCAATCTGAACTTCCACAACCTCGGGCGAAACCTGCTGTCCTGCAGGTTCTGCAGGCTCGACTGCCGTCTCAACTGCTTCTGGACAAATTGTGATTGCCGGCTCCTCCAGACCAGGAGGTTTGCGGGTTGTGGCAAGGTCTGTGGCCGGGGCTGTGGCCGGGGCTGTGGCGGGGTCGGTGGCGGGGTCGGTGGCGGGGTCGGTGGCGGGGGCTGTTGTGGCGGCTGCGTCTACCTCCCAACTTGCAGCACTTGCGTTTTGATACGCTTCACCTGAGCATGCTGGGGAGTCTTGAGTGTCTTGCTGCCACGAGGCATTTTGCTGCTGCCATTCCTGCATCGCCTCCTGCTTCGCTGGGTCACTCCAATCCCACTCTGCCTCTGGCGATGCCTCTACTGCACCATCCTCTGCTCCCCACCCATTTTCGTTCCCCGTCTCCTCTTCATTCCAGACTTGGGTTTTTTGGTAGCTGTCCACCGCATCCTTCAAGTCGGGTTCCACTTTTTGATCTGTGGCTTTCAGCACATCCATCAGAAACAATGATGAAGACTCCATCTCTTTCCAACTTGACCTATCGACGAAGCTCATTGCGTAGCCTTTGGCTCCAGCGCGACCGGTTCGCCCTATTCGGTGGATATAGTCTTCAGGTGCACTGGGAAGATCGTAGTTGAAGACAAAGCGCACCTTCGGGATGTCGTGGCCACGAGCCAAGACCCCTGTGGAAACAACGCAGGGAACTTCACCACTCCGAAATCGTTTCATGGCGTAATCCCGGTCATGTTGCTGTAGTTCCCCATGCAGGCAGGCAACCATGAAGTCGTTGTTCTCATTCCACAGAAAGTGCTCTTCCTTCAGCCGATCCACCAACCTTTGGACTCCACCGCGGGTCCTGCAAAAAATGATAGCCTTGCTATCGTCTTTGAAAGTTTCTGGAGACTGCAACTTCTCCAAGAGTTGTTCATACTTCTCATCTTCTCCATCCACCATTACGGTGTGTTGTTCAATGAACTTGCAGGCTGCAAGTTTGCTCCCACCAATGCGCACAACCACTGGTGGCATTCCGTCACTGGCTGTGCAAATCTCCTGAGCAAAGCATTTCACCTCCTCTGGCCAGGTGGCCGAGAACATAAGGACTTGCCGCTCCTTTCGCACTTGTGACAGAATGAGCTTGATCTGATCATAGAACTCCTTCTTGAGCATCTCGTCTGCTTCATCGAGGACCACATAGGTGGCCCTGTTGAGCGTAACCCAACCATCACCCAAGGCATTCATAAATCGTCCTGGTGTTGCCACCTGAGTACGAGGGCGAAAACAACAGTTGAAACCAGTTGCTACTGAAGAGCTCTTTTGCAGGAGTCCGGGAAGAACGATGATCTCCGGAGTGTTGTATTCATTTCTTTGTCGTTGCAAAAAACGACTTTCTGCTTCTGTGGTTTTGGCGTGTGGTCGTCTTTTTGAATAATTCTTGCAGCTTGCGGCGTGCTTCCTGGACACCGAGCATTTGGTGTTGCTCATTGTTGGAGCAGTAGGTGTGAGATGAAGGCGAATGAAAAGCAAAGCAGGGGGTTCATTGCAACGATATATATATATATATACAAGTCTTGAAATCATCTGATGTGTATATCTATATAATATAATATAATATACATTTAAGTTTTCTATTGATATTCTTGTGCTCGATGCATTGTCCAACAGAATAGTCGCAGCAGGGTTTATTGGTAGACGCAGGTTTGTGGGCGGGCCTTGGTTTGCTCCACACTGCGGCTCACCTTGCAAAGCAATCTACGAAGAACAAAGCAAAGTCACAACGGAGGAATTCAGCACAACCTCTGAACCCCACATCCCGCAGTATTGGAAACACCCATCCATGTCAAACCTAGTTTCACACTCAGTTTTTTGGAGTTCTCTTTTGAAAAGTGAGGGTACTCTGGTGTACTTACGAGCGACAAAACCCAAAATATCAACAGCCAACAAATGAAAAGAATGGAAAGAAGCGTCCAACTACAGAATCGTCTTTGAAGCACGGTTTCTCCCATAATGTTAGCCAAACCACTACAATGTCATTCTTGTCCTCGAGCCACTCCCTCTGCTGGCGAGAAGGAGTCCCACCAACAATGGTGCAGGTCTTTATGCCTCTCGGCAAGCCATAGAGATCGCATTGCTCTTTGATCTGCGAGGCTAGCTCCCGGGTGGGAGCAAAGATCAGAGCCACAGGCCCATCCCCTTTCTCCAGCAAAGCCTGGGGGATGTATAGTACAATAGTGTCTGCTTATATTGCAATCAACCAAATGGCAAAGGCCAAAGACTTACACTTGGACCCTACAATCAAGTGGCTTTACATACTCGCAAACATGATGCTTGGTCACAATCAATTGCACACCAGCCTGGTACGATATATGCACAATCATCGGCAGAATGTACGCGACTGTCTTGCCAGATCCTGTCTCTGCAATGCCCACAAGGTCCCGGCCCTGCATTGCAAGAGGCCAAATCTGCTTTTGGATAGGTGAAGGCTCCTGGAAGTGCTGCTCGGTCAGCCTGTCCATCAAGTCATCCGGAAAACATGTCTCCTCAAAAGAGCAGATTGGGTGTGGCACGCTGCTGTCGCCATCGATAATTTCGATGTCGTCGGAGTGCCGAATGGCTGCTACTTCTTCAGCACTGCGGTTCTCCGCAAGTGGGTTTGCGCATTCCGAGTAGAAATCTTTCTTGATATCGATGGGCGGTCGGGTGGTCCAATCGACCTCCACCAATTTGTCGCCCCACGCTTCGATTGCGTTCCACGTAGTCCACTTCTTGTCTGAATTGTCGCCACCCCATGAAGACCTTTGGTAATCCTTTGTTTCCGCGGCCCACGGATCTTCCTGTGACGTCCATGGGTCTTCTGCTTGGGCCCAAGAATCCTTCCAAGGATCCTTCGCCTTCCATGGGTCGTGTTTCTGCCAAGGATCTTCGGTCCAGGCGTCTTCTTTGGCCTGCGCCTGCTTTGAGCCACCATAGCGTGACCAAGGGTCAGCTTCAGCCTGGGTTTGGGAAGACCACGGGTCTGCATTCCAAGATTGCCCCGCGCTCCACTGGTCTTCACAGGATGTCTGATCCTTGGTCCATTGTTGACCACTCTTCGTGCCACCCCCATTCCAAGAGGACCAGGGATCGTCCCGATCGCCCCACGAGCCTCCATTGTTATCCTTCCCCCAATTCGACCACACATCTTCTGCAGATGTGGTCCATGCCTCATACGAATCCTCCTTCGCGGGTTTGCAACACTGAGGTTCAATAGAACAAAATTAGCCAAAACATACTGCAGAACGTACTGTATTTATGTGTCAGAGTGATTATCTATACAATTGCAAGGAACAAGGACGCTATTAGGGGCTCCTGGCATCGCTACTAGGAACAAGGACGCTAACGAGATGCCCGGGTGAAAGTGGCGAACATGGGTGTGTTTCCGGCACTTGTAGGGCGTGTCGGCCGTGTCTCCGGTGCTGGTCATTGATGCTTCGCATTTTGGTTGGAACAATTCCGACTGGGAAGGATGCGTAAAATGAAAAATGTATATAAAACTTATAAAACAAGGAGAACACCGTATGTAATCCACGTGTATGCAGTGGTTTAGCATATCTATCGATTCAAAAATGTGTTTGGTGTGCACAATTCGTCTTGTATGTGTGATGTTCCGGGTGAGTGCTGCAGTGGTGGCTTCTCCGGTGTGAAGCAGTTCAACTTGGAGGCTGAGACATGCTCTGCACTCTCCACACGCCCACAAGACCCGCTTCTCCTGCTTGGCCCAGGAAGCAGACCAAGTTGACTCCTGAATAGGATACTCGGGGTACTCTCTCTGCCAGGATTCTTCCTGGTCCCAATTGGATTCCTGCCATGAGCTCCCACCGCCGCTCCGTCTATTCCACGGCATTGCGCCGTTTCGAGATGCAAGAAATGTGAATGTCGCCTTAGTCTGCTGTGTATGAATGTGTTAACATAATGCATAAAAAGGTTATGATACCAAATCTTCTTGCTTGAGAACCTTGGAGTTCATGGACTGTCAATGGCATCCGGTTTTCCTGATTAGCTTGACAAATGATTCATGCAAAATATGGCAACGCACGGCAACGCGTGTGACCACCAGGGACCATCGTGAACATTGAAACACGCCGACATGCCAATGCCGGATTGAAGATTCTTTCACCTCGCTGTTTCCATCGGGTCACGTCCCTGAAACCTGCGCAAACAGCAGAGCTGGCCAATGAAACAACGCGAAAAACGATGATGAAACGAACAACCAATTCGCGCAAACAAGTCTGATGGAATGAACCTCGTGTGTTTCCTCTTTGGAGGTTGTGTTCTCTGTTGCCTGCCACAATGTCAAATTTTTGGTCTCACAACATTCGCAAACATTGTCATCATGTGACTGGCACAATCATGAAACAAACTACAATGCCAGGAATCTGCTTACCCTGAGGACTGCTTTCTGCGCATCCTGCTGCACAAACACCCAGGCCGCGAGAGCTTCACAAGCAAGAGTAAGTAAGTGCAAGAACAAGTCAACATTACAAAAAACATAAAAATTGCAAAGCATCGCATCTAAAACACGCAGCATCCGGTAGCTTTAGCATCCGCTCCATCCCTCTCTCCTTCAGCAACTCCTTGAAGCGCTCCGGAGTGCTGACCGTGCTGCATTGCTGCTTCGGAGAAACCGGGGAAACACTTCGGCTCCTGCAATGCCCAAGCACATTGCAAAACGCGGACAAGCCCCACGGAAATAACATGATGTGAAGTCATACGGAATCAGTACCGTCGCACCGCAGAATCGCTTCCTAGTTGTCGGGGGAGGGGCCCAATCAAGAGGTCTGGCTCTTCATGGCCTACCCCCTGAGCAAGCAAGAAGCCCTGTCTTAGTTTTTCATTGATCTGGGGCGTCCGTGTTTTCCAGGGCTGCACCTCCGCTGCAATGCTTGGTGACAGGTGCCAATAGAACTGCGAAAAAGTTTGAAGAAGAGTCGTGTATCCACCCTGCGAGAAGCAACTTTCTCAAAGGATTTGCGATGTGCCTGACGACGAATTATCATGGCTCACCACCGGTCAAAGAACAGATTTCTGCCGTCCCTTCAACCAGCGTTGGATGTGAACGCATCTATTCCAAATATCGCCCACCCCCAGCCTACATTGCGCCCTACCCGTTGCGTGTCTTGCGTCTTTCGAAAGTTGCTTGATCGTCCTCTCTTCAAGTGCTCGCGCGCAACGCATGGTCGATTCCAACACACCGTGGTTCAAAGGTGGGCATCGTTCCCTGCACAACTGGCCCTTGAAACATTGCTCGGATGGTGATTCATGTTCGCCACCAGGGTCAGCGCTCCTCGAATTTTTTTGCCCAACTCAGCGCGCGTCTTTCACCGCAACTTCACCCTGGTCACATGGTCGCGCCAACTCTTTTGCCGCCAGACCTAGGTGTACCCCTCCAGCCTCAGGCACTACTTTGCGCGCGAATATACCGAACTTCTTCGCGCGCGAGATCATCCGCTCTTGGCTCACAGTTGCTCTTAGCGCCACCAAGCTGCCTGATCAGCGGAACGCGCCTCTCTTTGCCGACTTCATTGTCTTGCAACACAGTCACAGTCGATTCGTTTCACCTGCAACTTCGCTAGATCCAAGCCTGCGTGGTAGGGGCATATCCATGGACGCGTTTTCCCACGCGAGCACGCAAGCACCCTCCTCGCGCCAGGCTGCGTTTCACGCAACAAGAAACAAGTCCCAAGGATTCAGATCCTCAGCCCTCCCGCTGGCTCAAACCTGCAACCCGTCTGGATCTTTGCCGAGGCACCCGACCACCAGTTCAGCCTGCTGCGTTCCCCCTTTGTTGCTGGCCCCAACAGCTTGCCCGCCGCGTCTTGACTTTGCTGAATGACACGGCAGCTCACCGTGCGAAGACTACGCGCGAGTTCACAGCAACAACGGAACACAGGCGCTAAGAACATTTTAACTGTTTCGCAAACACCTCTCTTGCTCTTGTATTGGCCTTGGACATTCACGTTGCCTTGCTGATAAATCTAGCCGCCAAAGTCTTGAAGATATCAAAATGCGACTTGAACCAGCGCTCCACTCGCGCGCCGCAGCAGCCTGAGGGGCAACAGCAACTGCTCAAAAGTTGCCAGGAACTTCTTGCGCTCGTTTTATTTCCACGCGCGCGCCCTACCCGACAGACTAATCGCGTTGCTAATCCAAGGGCCATCGTTCTGGGGCCACGCAAGCGCGCAGAAAGAGCGCAGGCGCGCGACGGCGAGCAGCAGTAGGACCTGAGAGAGGACAAGGCACAGCGTTGACAAAGATTGCGCGCGGTCCCAACTTTACTGCACATGAGATTAGAGGGTGGCTGGAGCTAGCGCCGGTGGATTCCACACGCGTCCACTCACTAGAGGAGCGCGGCGCGCGCGGTCTTCCAAGTCCGGCGCACGTATAACGGATTCCCGCTGAGCATCAAGAAAACGAGGACTCTGCTGCAGCAGTGGGAGTGTTAACGTTAAGACCCAAGGAATGTTGAAAAATGAAGTCGAAGTATCATTGCTGCCCAAGCGACTCTAGCCCAAAGCAATGGCCCCCGTCTCTACTTATTTGCGCCGCAACCATCTGGCTGGTCTCTCCCTCTAGCGCGCGATTCGCTATCACCTTTCCTTTTATTCCAACCTCCCTGAGCTTGCGACTTCACGCCAACCTGCAGATCGCCAATCGCCGCCACAAGCTCTTCCTCCGTTTCTCTTTGGCGGACTTGATCACATGGTTCGTACCTTCAACTTGCACCCTCCTTGCTCGGCTCTCACCAGCACATCATGGCATTTTGTTTCTTTCGTCCGAACAACCTCCGCGCAAGCTCCGCGCCAGACATAGACGCTCTGCTGCAGGACCGCCTCTCTGCAACATAGTCCAAAACTTTGTCGCAAAGGCTTGTAGCGTGAAGGTGATCTCTTACCTCGATCATGAAATATCCTCCGCGCAAGCTTCATCCAGACAGCGGTCGTGAGTATTCCTGTCACGTGCATGGGCTTCACCCACGATGCACATTGGCGTAGACACAGCAGCTCTGCTTTCATCTTTATCTTCATGGTCCTTTGCGTTGAGCCAAGCAGCCATATAAATGACATCCATGGGTTCTCGACACTTCTACGATGCTACGAGCCATTGACACGGCGCAACACACTGAGGCAAAGTGCCCATCGTCCAGCTCTCTTTCGCACAACTGCTTGCTGTTTCCAAAGTCCTCCCCTGCAAGTATGTTCCACTCCCCGGGCGCATCCATGCAAAGTAGCACGTTAGCACGCGCCTCTTCTAAACGCACGCCCTCTAGTTTCATCGCCTCCAAAAGCCTCCCATACCTGCAAAGAACTCTGCGAAAACGAGCTTTTGCATCTCCCTGTCATCCAGCAAGTTCAGAAATAGATCTATTGAGTTCTTCCCAGCAAAAACAGCCCTCAGGTAGGATTGCCTTTTGTCACCCCAGTTCTTCCTCTTCTTCATTCTGCTTCTCGCTCGCGTCCACCCCTTCTCCTGTCACCTTCTTCGCGCTTTCTTCTGGCGCTGAACACCAGGCGCTTGCCAAGACTGTCTGCGCAAGGCGCACTGATTCGGTCTGATGCCAAGTCGGTATGTCCTGCATCTGATTGTACCTTCTCCTTCTTCTCTCTTTTTCTTTCTCTTGCACCCTCTTCTTCGCAGCATTCAACTCCCGTCGCCAACGCCTTTGAGCCTGCCTGCTGTAATCCTGTGCAGCGCCTGTCACCCTCATGCCCTCTGCATCAAGTTTGCTCATGTTCTTTCCAATTCTGCGCGGGGATGTGAACCCCCTTGGCTCCAGAAGGTTTGATCACAGGCGGCGAACAAGAACACTCCTAGCCACGGTCAGCTGCAAAGACGATGTTATAGGCAGTCTACCCTCTGCCCTCTGCAGCTGCTCTGGGCAAGCCCCAGGTGGTCACCGCGGCGCCGTCTTCAGCGTGCATGATCAAACGCAAGCATTCTGGACACCACCTATTGAGGTCATTGAGGTTCACTACTTCCATGCCCCTTCCTTCTCAAGTAGGAACAACTTTACGTTTCTGCACTCGCCGCCACTGAGCTGCTCGACAGAACGCTCTGCCTTCTTGGACGGGTCCGCGGCCGCAGTTCTTCAGCTCGTAGTCACTTGAAGCTCGGTGTCACCGAGTTGGTCAGCGATCTGTGACACCTTGGCTTTCTGTCGCGCCCACTGGCAAAGGCACTGAGTTTGCACCAGTTGCAGGTGTCATGAATGCAACCGTCAAAGCATTCAATGTGCCAGGTTTTTGATTCCAGGCACCCAACAAGTGGACCAAAACGACAAAGCATTCGAATTTGTCCATGATCCCTGTTGAATCTTGGGCCAAAATGGCCGCCACGGGCCAAATTAGCTCCTCTCTTGTTTCTCACTATCTCTTCTTGCGTAACAGGTTGCTTCATGAAATTACCGGGGAAAGACCATCAAAGCGGTAGATCTTCCGGGGGTACAGTACCACACTGTCACACCTATAGAGTGGGGGGAGAGAGAGAGAGAGAGATGGAGATCGAGCCTGGAAGTTCTCGAGAGCCGCAAACTTGGGCACGAAGCCTGAATAATGCTTTTAAGACACAGAAGAGTCACAAGTCTGCATCAAGTACAAACTTCGCGCAAAACCGTGTACCCTGCTGCTCAGCCATACCCAAAGAGAGCCAAGTCAATAAATGGGGCGGCGACCAATTGAGCTAACCCTGTCATGCGTGTACTCTACGACGTCGCTGCTTCAAACCACAACTCGCTCTTCCTAACGAGCTTTTGAATTCCTTTGCAATGGGCCTCGTTTACAGTATGCCGCTTGATTACCTTGCAAAAATCGCAAAGACGATCACAAAAGACTAAATCGCAGGAAAAGCACGATAAAAAAATCATGCGTCTTGATCGTCAGGGCGTTGCGACAATTGCGTCCGTAATTGACTTGGCAAAGAAGGGAGAAACAAAGGGAAGGTGTTTGATTGGGCCACCTTCGTAGAGGCCTTATTAAATTCAATGTTTCCAATTGGGACCCAAACACCTTGCCTTTTTCATATGGTTTTTCATTTGAAGGTCAAGTGGCTCCACCAGGAAATTCATCAAAGTAAGTCGGGCAGCTCGTTCGATTGTCCCAACCACCTGCCGGATATGCCTCACGCCAAGGAAAAGCTTGGCTGAGTTTGTTTGTTCAGAGTTTGGTGGCAACTCCTGTTCAAAGCCAACTCAGACCCCTACCCGCACCACAGTTTTACCAAATCGATCGCCAACTTCTGGCTCATCTTGAGCTCCAGTCGGTGAGTAACTGCCTGAGTGTGGCAGGATGGGCCCGCAGGGTGTGTAGGCAAATACAGCGGCAACGTGTGGCCGCTTGGCTCCTTGCGAAGTTGGGCAGACCAGCTCCCAGTGCACCGGCCCAAAGATCCCAGTTCATGGCGCCTTGTAGGCGGCGGGCTCTCTCTCCTTCAACGGGGCTTTTTATTCACACAATTTCTTCACGCGTTCTTGCCCCTCCTCGCCCCTAGTAGCGATGCCAGGGGCCCCTAGTAGCTTCTTGCTCCTAGTAGTAAGGCCAGGAGCCCCTAGTAGCGTCCTTGCACTCCAACCTAATAGTTTTTTCTTCAACGGGGAATGTCTCAGTCTCTTGATGTCTCTTGCAAACACCGTTTACCAGAGCTGTAGCATGCTCTAATTGACTGCCATTTCGCGCCAATCCTGGTGGAGCTTCTGCTGTTTCGCCCCAAGGTCGTCTCTTCGGTCTTCGAAGTCTTCAAACTTTGGGACAGCACCCGCGGCGGTGAAAGTGGGACGTGTGACACACGTGGCACACGTGGCACGCGTGGCACACGTGGCGCCGGCAGCGTGCGCTCGAAAAGCTGCTTCCGGACAGGGGAAACGGCAGAAACCTGTGTACAGAACGGTTCTTGCTCTTGACGCTTTGGTATCTGGAAAAAATAACGGTTTGAGTGATCTGAGAGCCAGCAGAAAGGCGCCTTTCTTGGTTCTGCTCGTTCTTTCTTCGTAGGCTTTGTTGGAGCGGAGGCTGACAAACGTGGACATATCCAAAGGCGCTTTAAAACCAGATTGATCTGATCACACGCCTGGAGAAACTTTGCCTGCGACCAACCTCTCTTGTCGAACTTCGGCCAGGATTTGTTGCACCTGTCAACTTTAAACAAATTGAAATTGGTTCAAGTCACGTTGACATCCTATGAATATCTTTGACTGTTAGGTTTGAGTTCCAGCCTCACTCACCTGGCGTGGAGGGGAAGAGCTGCATGCCTTGACGACAACAACAACGTTCCTACCCCCCAAGGCTCCAACCTAGAAGCAATGGCCTCCTCCTAATAGCGCCTCCAACCTGGAAACGATGGCCTCCTCCTCATAGCGACGGCCTCAAACCTAGAAGCGATGGCCCCCAACCTAGAAGCGATGACCTCCAACCTAATAACGATGGCCTCCAACCTAATAGTAATGGCCTCCAACCCACTAGCGATGGCCTCCAACCTAATAGCAATGGCCTCCAACCTAATAGCGATGGCCTCCAACCTAGTGGCGATGACCTCCAACCTAATAGCGAAGGCGATGGCCTCCAACCTACTAGCGATGGCCTCCAACCTACTAGTGATGGCCTCCAACCTACTAGCGATGGCATCCAACCTACTAGCAATGGCCTCCAACCTACTAGCGATGGCCTCCAACCTAGGATTAATGTTTCGCCTTTGCTTCCAAAGTTGGCAGATTAGCACAGAAACTCACACACACACGTTGACGTTGAGTGAAGAGGCACACATGCTGCCGGATATCGAGATCTCTTCGTCTGGGTCCCACACACGAGTCTCAGATGGACCTGTGGCCTCGCTCCCTAGCATCAAGTTCGTTCGCAATATGCCTTACGTCTACCGATCTCGCATGTACAACCAACCAAGATATAACCGTTGGTGCCCCCCTATAAACCTACCTTTTTCTCGATTTTGATTGTATTTAATTTGCAGCTTTTGATACAATTTGAGGTTTGGAATTAATACGCCAGTTTGGACCTGCTTCAAGCAAACTTTTGTCCTTCGAGTGCAGACGACGAAAAATTCCAAGAAATTGCAGTTTTTCTTTGGCCAAATTTGTGCTAAGTACAAGGCTCCAAGATTCAAGAATGGAACTTCTTGGATCCCAGGATTCAAAGTTCAAGATTCAAATAGAACTTCTTGGATTCCCAGCCCAGGATTCAAGATTCAAGACTCAATTAGAACTTCTTGGATCCCCAGCCCAGGATTCAAGATTCAAGATTCAAATAGAACTTCTTGGACCCCCAGCCCAGGATTCAAGATTCAAATAGAACTTCTTGGATCCCCAGCCCAGGCTTCAAGATTCAAGATTCAAGATTCAAATAGAACTTCTTGGATCGCCAGCCCCGGGTTCATGATTCAAGATTAAACTAGAACTTCTTGGATCCCCAGCAATTTCTAAACTGTTGATAATATCATACCCTCGATGTGTATTTGAAATGTCTGCGACTGATGCTTCTCATAGAACTTGCGCACACCAGGACCAAAGTATGCACAAGCCCGTTCGCAATTTTTAAACTGTGGATAATTAATGTCATACCCTCGAAGTGTTTGACATGTCTGTGACTGATGCTTCTCATAGAACTTGCGCGCGCCACGACCCAGGTAGTCACAAGCCCGTTCCATGTAGCCATCTTGCATTGAACTTTCGCATCTCCAGGCAACCTACTTTTCCTGCCATGTCCATGCGAGTCTACGGCAGAGTCAACATGACCGGCGAAGGGGCCACGATCCGACTAGCGCCCGTACCAAACCAGGATCAGAGAGGACCCTGCACCACGCCCTACACCACAAGATGTTGCTGTGACCAAGGAAGCTTTGGCTTCGGCGATGGTCACTGTCCACGCGCAACTGGGCTTGCCTACTGGCGTGGACCGTGGATGCCATGGAGCGTCTTTGTCCCAACCTGGCCCAACCCAAGCGCGGCTGCCGAGGGAGTACTTCAGCACAAACACCTTTGTTAGCTCTGGAAGACAGGAGAAGTCGTTCTAGGTCAAGACACGCCTCTTCCTCTAGACGTCCCCGTGCCCCTGGCCCGTCGTCGTCCTCCAAGGCCGATGGCAAGTTGGCAAGCAACTCTCGAGCAATTCGTCCTCATCGTCTAGCTCTTCCTCCTCACGCTCTTCTTCCTCTACGACAAAACAGCTCTTCGCCGCTACATTGGCGAATTGGAGAAGGCAGTGGAGCGCCACCAAGAGATTCGTCACGCTCCTCTGCAAGGGCTTGGAGGAAGAGAATGCGCAGCTGCGCAGAGCCATTGCGGAAGACGATTGCAAGTGACGCTGGACCGAGATGCGCCTGCTCCTGGCCCTTGGCCATTGATGCTGGGCGCTTGGCGCGGTGCGTGAAAAGATGCAGCTGCTGTGGGCTGGCCTAGGGCAACTTGCATAAAGACACGCTTGCGTGATATATGCCTTTGGTCACGCCTGAAACTTCAAAACCAAGAGTTCCCACTCTGTCTTCTATCAAGGGCTAAGTATTAGACTAAATCATCTAAACTCTTGCATCTGGAATCTTGGATCCTGTACTTAGCGCAGAGTTGACTTGCAAGAAATTGCAATTTTTGCAATGTTCCATAGTATTCAAAAATGCATGTGTCTTGCTTGTGGCTGTCTTTTCTCGCGCACTTCCCAATGACCACACATACTACCATTCAGTGTCTCGCTCCAGGCTATGGAAGCACTCGGCACGAAACAATGGCAGCTGAAGCCGTTACAGGAAGCATTGGTTGGTCTGATGAACTGCTCCGAACCCATTGCTTTGAGCGACTTTGCTGACAATGCGTGTAGGCCCTGTTCCAGAGCTGTGAAATCTATCACCTTGCTCTTCGATATTCATCTTGGTATCGAGAATTGTGGAGAGCCAGCGGCCATTGGGGAAAGGGTATCGGAAGGCGAAATAGACAGCCTACCAGCCCTATCAAGTTCAATGCTTCCCTGAGCCACGATGGATCTGATCTACATCAAGGAGGAGAACGAAGCCGTCCATGCGCTCAATGGTCATCTATCTTCCACGCCCTGTCTCGTATCAGATCGGCAATTCCACCTGCAGGGCATTGGTTCCAGTCCGTCGACCCGGTCCTTGGAACGTGAAGAAGGGCGCGCAGTGGCTCCTGAATCAGTTAGGCGGATAACAGTGAGGTGGCGCAGCGTGATGGAGAAGGTCACCAATGATTCAGTGGACCCCGTCCAACGACGAATTGGAGGAAGGCGTCAACTTTATCAACGAGTATGCCCCAGAACGCGCTGCCAAAAATGAACAGACTTTGTGTGCTTTGGTCAACATCAAGCCTAATTCCGGCACTTCGCCTGAGCACAAGGTACGCATCATGCGTCCGAACAAGAGCAAGGGCCTTGGAGGAGCTGTCTCCATGACAGATTTTCCTCTCGCCTATTCAGCCCAAAACCCTTCTTGCACCAGGTTCTGCTACCTCACATGTTTCCACTTCTGATGAATTTTGGCATCATGCTTCTCGGATGTCCAGGGGTGGGCAAAAACACCATTCGCGATCGTTCTCACCATGGCAGTGGGAAGATACCATGTCCGTCGGTCCAGCCGGATGGCGTCGAGCGAAATCTTTGGACAACTTCAGGCACAAGGCTCCGCAAGTGCAAGAAGGCTTTTCCTAGACGATCCCACCCGCAGCAAGGTGAGCATCGCTGATTTGAAGAGAATCCTCACAGCCGATGAAGATGGGACAGTTGAGTCGAGGTACAATGACACTCGCTGACAAGCAGAGCGCCATTCGGGCAGCACTTTATCTTGTGGTCAGTTCCTTTTTTGTAGATGACCTCATCGCCAGCGAGAAAAGAACGATGTCCTCGCAGTACTGAGGCACACCAGCATCTTCATCTTCACTGCTTCTGCCCTCTACTTGCGTCTGCCAACTGAGAACAAGGAGGCGGTCATCCACCTTTTGTCTGAGAAAGACAAGCCCCTATATGGAAAATACAAGGGGGGAGTTTTGGAGACTAGTGATACTTTCGACTCAGATGTGCGCCAGGAACAAGACTTGATGGGCCAAGGAGTCAACAAGCTTGCAGATTTCGAACACATCCAAGATTATATCCATGATCCTTCGTCTACCCAGGCCGCCGAGCGCGTTCCAAGCGCAGCCCGTCCATCGCAGGAACTTGCACAATCGGATGCGAATGGGATGGCCACATTAGAAGCTCTTGTGAAAGATTCCGAGGAAGCGCTCATGGAAGTAGAGGAGTGCAATGATGGTCCTGATGTCTTTGAAGATACGGTCGCTGATGAGGAAGCTGCTGCTTTCATGGGCCACAACTGCGGCAGTCTGAAGTAAGTAGATAGGTGGGCTTGACGCAGTGCTTTACAGTACCATAGGCAGAGTACGCTGACAGATTTAGTTCTGTGAAAAAATGCTACTGCAGTGTGCCCTTTTCTTGCAGGTTACTGTCAAACAACAGATTCGTCACATGTCTTTTTGCAAACTAATACGTAACCTTTCGAAATATCAGGCTCAACAGTTTCATGTCCATTTCCCGTCTCTGAAATGTCACAACGTCATGTCGGTCGCCATCACTACGTCGTGTCTGCTCGGATGATACACGTGCAGTGCATGGTTCACGTCCTCCGTATAGCATTGCCTCTCAAGGTCCTTTTGCAACTCCAAGCGCTTGGCAATCGGTGGAGTATGTGCGGGTGATGAAAAGCTACATGGGTCAGAAGAATGATCGATTGATGTGGAAAAGGACTTTGTGGAATCTTTTGCCAGAGACCAACATGCAACTTGTACGAACTTTGGACAGCGCGGGCAACCCGGCCTGCTATTTCGCGACCAGCCGGCCGGCCGGCTGGCCAAATAGCGGCCGGCCGGCCGGCTGGCCATAGCGGCCGGCCGGCCGGCCAAGTAGTAGTAGTAGTAGTAGTACTAGACTAGTAGTAGTAGTAGTAGTAGTAGTCGTCGTAGTCGTAGTCGTAGTCGTAGTAGTAGTAGTAGTAGTCGTAGTCGTAGTCGTAGTAGTCGTAGTCGTAGTCGTAGTCGTAGTCGTGGCTGGCTGATCGAGAAATAGCGGGCCGGGATAAGCTCGCAATGGAACTTTGCGACAAGATGGGCTCTTGCCAAAGTGTGAAAGCAAAACATGTCCGAGGTGCCGCAAAGGGACTGGTCTCCTCTTCTTTGTTGCCAAGCGAACGCTATGCCCAAACATCGGTGCAATCGTAAAGGGTGTCAAGTCTGGTTGAGCCCGCATTATCTTCATCCACTATTAGTCGATGGGAGACGGTCGTCTACTCTGCAGCAACAAGCTGCCACCTTGTACTTGCTGTTGCAACGTCTCCCTCACACAGCCATCCACCACATTCTTGACTGCAACCACAAAGTCGTGCAGGACATGGCCAAGCGGTTGCGAGATCTACGGAAATCATGGGTGGAAGAGCGCGACACGAAGATAGTCTTTGGCACGGGAACCGTCTGGAAGGATGTCGAAGCAGATGAGGCCACGTTCGACAAGAAAGACCTGGGCCGAGATGCGAATCCCGTGGAATGGGAGGCTCTTGCATCGCCTCAAGCCCAAGTCGCCTGAGAAACGTGCTCCGGGACTCCCATCCGCGAGGTAGAATGGACTCCTTTGGCAAAAACACACCTTCAAGGCAGAGTGATCATCTTGCACACTGACTCGGCGAAGTCCTATAAGGCCAAGTTGCAAGGCGTGCTGCTCCAGGCTCACACTTGTCCGAAAACCGGCAAGTCTATCCAGGTCAAAGCTGGCACTCAGATCATTGACAGAGCTTGGAGATTTCTTGAAGACCGCATTCATATCTCAAACGAGCCCTCAAAGGTTGGGACTGCAACCTTGCGTGCCAAAGTGCGCTCTGCTCAGTACGAGTACTGGCAGATGGGCAAGGATCTCTGGGCTCATACAGGTGTCTTATGTCAATGGTTCATGATCAAACTCCTGTAGCAATCTCCGCACATGAGTATCTGGGGAAAAAGATCTTCAGCGTCAGCATCCCTCTGCAACATCAGCAATGAACACTCTGCGGTGCAAAATGAATTCTTCTGCACATGTCTTCAACTCTGCAAAACCAATCCACAACGTCTGCCCAAACTAGGAAAAGGTAGGTCCATTGGGGGGGAAGCATATATATATATATAAGTAATATGTATACACATTCAGAGTCACATGTGTATATGACCAGACTCAAATAGTTGTATAATTACTCAATTATAAATTATACTCAATGATCTTCAGCAAAGCCCGGAAGCTGCCAATAAGAATTTTAACACTAAAGTCCAGCATTCGGGGTGATGCGCAACGTGACGATGTGATGCGCAAATGTGATGTGGTGACAATGTGCTTTGTAAGTTTGTTGCAATGCTCAAACGCATTGCGTCTCGGCGATATGGCGATCTCTCTTCTGACGGTTCTCCCTCAAGATCAACAACTTCAATAGAAAATAGCGATGGCTTCCAACCTAGAAGTGATGGCCTCCACGTAACAAGAATGGCCTCCAACCTAGAATCTAGAAGCGATGGCCTTTCCCTACCTGTCACCGTTCGTTTTCAAAATAGACTGCGTCAATTCTCACGACTTGTTTGCTCCTCTTCGGCGTCACACAATGCAAGTGTCTGGCCAGGCGCGGCTGCATTGGCCCCCTGAAAACTGTCCTTTTCTCCGTTTCCTTCTTCCTCCCTTTCCTCCCTTTCCTCCTTGTCTCTCCTTGTTCCTCCTTTCCTTTCGTCTTTCTTGCGAGTGTTGTTGAGGCTGCACCCTGTTAGCTGTCTCACACAGGAACGGAGACCCACTCGGCAAACAGTGATCTGCTTTTGGACTCCATAAAAACCAAATGTGAATGTGTGTTGTTTCGAAATATACATACATATATATATATATAAACAAATGGATACACATGGTGTGTTAAAGATATTCAAACGGCTAGCGACAACCAACAAGGCCCTCATAAAGTCGACACATTGCGACACTCTATTGCATCCTCAATTGCATACTGTTCGCACTTCTAGTCTTTTCACAATTCTGAAGTGTCTCACCTGAATGTCCTGTGACTGTGTTTGTTTCAGGTTAAAGAATGCTTTCAGAAACGATGAATCTGTGATATTGTTCGTATCCCCTTCTTCGCAGCTGGATGCTTGGTCAAATTGCAGCTATGGAAGCGACTGATGCAGCTCAAAGACCAAAGAATCAAAATGACTCGCCTGAAGGACTTTGAACCTCGCAGACTTTTGGCGAATCGTCATTTAGAACGAGAACCCAACGACATCATTTAATTACATATGTTTGCATCGAGAACCCAACGTCGCGAGCACTGCGCTCTTTCCTGACTTCCTGCAGGAGGAGTTGCACCTGGGACAAAGTCATCAGTTTCTCCTAGATTGTTTGCGCTACCGTAATCGGCTTCTTCCGCTGAACTACCCCCTTGCTACTTTCAACAAGCATGTTTCTATTTTTCTATTGGTGTCTTGTGTTTCCTTTAATCCTTTGGACCTTTGGATTTGTTTTCTCTTATTCTTTTCTGTGCCGTTCAGTAATCCGCAGCTTTCACACTGCACCTTACTGCTCTCAAGACTGTATTGCTTTCCAACGTTTGCCCCTGAGTAACTTGCCTCACTGGCTGGTTGCTGCCTGGTCAAGTGCATGTCTGAGATAGAAAACAAACGAAAACAAAGAACCCGCACAACAAACAAAAAACGGGCTACATAGCGGTCTTGCAGCTTGGCGACCAGTTGGCTTCCAGACTTCGCAAGCTCTAGCACTTCATTTGTAAAAAACACATGTAACATCTCCTTCTGATTCAGTTTCAATTCGTCTTTGACACTTCTGAGAGATGAACAGTCTTAAAGTTGAGTCCTTGAGTTCGCCTTTGCCGCTCCTCTTGGCGGCGACGCTGCACCTCCTCCCAAAAGCTTGCCTCGCAATAAGTAAACATCACAACGCTTGTGAAATGAATGAATATGAAAACAAATGCCTTGGTTCAACTTGGATCTTGCAGTGCTGTTTTGGTTCCCGTTGCAAGACAATTCCAATTAAGTATCGCACGTGAGTTGACACAATCTTTGGCCTCCAAAAAATTGTGATACGCATGTCACGTGTTGTGATCCTACAATGGAGCAAATCCAAAATGCTGTGGAAAAGAAGTATCTTTTTTCCGACGTTCTATCGTGCATTGTTGAACCGGGACTTGTCGTACCAAAAGGGTTCCTGACTCGCTGCTTCGGCAAAACAAACAGTGAATGGAGCAAGAAGCGTTTGGCGTTTCCTCAAAGTTGCTCTCATTTCCTATATGTTCTGGTTTGTCATGATGCCCTTCCCCAAATAGTGTAGTCACACTTAGACTTAGGGGTTCTTATGGGAGGGGTTGAGGCTGCTCACACTGCGCACTCTGATTTCGTGGCAGGTGCAGTGAATCGCGGCAGGAGGATGCATTTATGATGTACCGAATTGTTTTCAGAATTTGGAGGATGCATTTATGATGTAATTACCGAACGAATGCACCTGGAAGTGCAGATTTCGTGGCAGGCGCAGCACTTTGTGAACCTTACAGCGCACATTACACTACCACACGAACACTACCACTCTACCATTACCACTACTCCAACTACTACCACCACCACGACTACCACCACTACAAACGCGACAAGGAGTCTCTTGCAGGAACAATCTTTCTTCAAGGATTTTCACATTTCGTTGTCTTCCGTTCTTCCTTATGTTCCTCTCCTTTTCTTGATTTACTAATTGCTTTTGTGCAAAAACTAGCAGAAAGAGTGAGCAAGCAGCGTCTGGGGTCTGTATGATTGAAATCGCGTTCCTGTCCTCTTCCCCATCGTGCTCCTCTACAACATCTGTCGAACAAAGGCACAAGTCTGGAAAGATCCGGCTGGATGCGTCAATTACCTGCAAGCTGTAGGACTTTTGGAGTGGAGAGCACCCCATTTTTAATGAACACCTCTATGCAGATGCACACATCTTTCAGAATCTTCAAACAACATCTAGTTGTTTTTCTGGTTGTCCGATTGAATTCCGAATCTGCTCGCAAGTGTCGGAGTTCTGGGAGGAGATCTGTTTCGCTTCTTCGGCATTGTCCAAGTCCCACATGCATCGCATTGTTTCTGGCTGCACGTGGTGGACCACCTCACATCGCTGAGCACAGCGGATAGGTTGGAGGCCATCGCTTCTAGTAACAAGGGCATCGCTACTAGTAGCAAGAACGCTACTAGTAGCTCCTGGCATTACTAGTAACAAGAATGCTACTAGGTTGGAGGCCATCGCTCTTAGGGTGGAGGCCATCGCTATTATGGCAACATGCAGCAACAGCTTCTCAAGGCAACAACTCGTCCAATAATATTTACAGTAGGACTTCTTAGCTGCGCTTTCTGAGGCTATGTCCCACGTCCGATTGTGGATATTGGAGAATGTCGAATTGCCTTGTCTTGCTTCAAGACAAGCAAGATTGTACAATAGTACAAAAAGCAAAGAGCCAAAGAAAATTAACTCTTAGAAAGCTTAAACGAACATTCAGTTGCTCGCAAAGAAATCGCCCTTGTGCCAAAGCACAAGATGGGTTCAACGAGAAGGAGTTGAAGTCTCGGTCATCCAAATTGATAGACATGCCTCGCTGCACCTCAGATTGGACGCTACTAGGGGCTCCTGGCATCGCTACTAGGGGCTCCTGGCCTTACTACTAGGAACAAGGACGCTACTAGGATGCTTCTCAGATTTGTTGATAGGTGTCCGCACACTGAGGAGCATTCTGGGCTCGCTGCCAAGCCGGCAATCAACACTCCAACTGCAGGGTCATCAGGGTGAGGCAAATGATCTGCAGCTGCCTTGGGGACGCAAAGACCTAGGACCTATGCCTTGAAGAAGACGAGAATGCGAGAAAAGAGAGGAATACAAGAATGTAGATGTAAGGGCCTTACATTCTGTTTCCTAACTTGTTCTCGTAATTACAGTTGCTCACGATGTCAAAGCCCGATGCCTCGTCAAGCGGCACATCTGGCTGCTCCTGGCAGCTTGAGTCCATTTCCAAGACATCGCACTGCATGACAGTCACCGCAGTTGCAACGCGCTAAAGGCATAGCGATGGCCTCCAACCTAATAGCAATAGCCTCCAGCCTAGTAGCGATGGCCTCCAACCAAAGGCCCAGGGATAATATGGCAATATGGCACTGGACATTCTTCCCCAGGTAATTAAGGGACCTCACGATCGGCCATAAACTCTTTGACAGTGGCGGCAACCAAGTCTGCAGACATTGCCCAAAGCAGACCTCTGGCCTCAAAAGGGGAAACCAACAACAGGAAGTAAAAAACACATATGCAACGATCACACAGCACCAAGGTACATAGGGTGGAAAAATGTCGCCCCATGCCGGGTGATCTTGCCTTGGCTCTAAACTGTCTCTTCAATGATTATTAGAAAGACAAAGCACGGTTCTTGGTCCAAAAGGAGTTCTCGTAGAGTGCTTGTAAGATGTTTTCCAAAAAAGAAGTATTCTTAGTGTTCTCTCTAGCCAAAGCAGTGGCCTCCAAGCCTTTATTGAGTCGTGTGACTTTGGAAATTGCTCATAGGAATTGTAATGCTGATGTGCTGGATCTCGAACAGGGCTTGAGCCGTGGTCGAACATGCCCCAGAGATAGCGAATCGGAGGTCTGCTCGCAAGCTGGGCTAACAATGCAGGAGCTCGAAGATAAACATCATCATCGTGTCTAACCAACCACTGCAAGTTCGGATATCTTCGGTGAGCCCAGGACAACATGGACAAAGCCTTGATGTTCAGCGTGCGGTAGGACTCCACAACTGGCAGCTCCACAACGTCTCCCACACTTGAGTCATGCAGCGCATGTGACCTCACTTCGACATGTCCAGCACCCATCCGAGAGGACAACTCCCAATCCTCTCGTCTTTTCTGGTGCACAACCTTTGACATGTCATGAGGTCACAGCTAAGTCGCGAATTGGCGGCCTTGCCAACGAAGAAGCGTTGCACGACGGCTGGCGCTTTGCCCGCAAGCCCTCTTCCCCAGGTTTCTCTCACCACCTGGCAGGCAAGTGCAGATTTCGTAGCAGGCAAAGCACTTTGTGAACCTCGATGTGTAGGTTTCGTGGCAGGCGCAGCACTTTGTGAACCTCGACACGCAGATTTCGTAGCAGGAGCAGTACTTTGCGCTTTCAGATGCTCACTCTCTCACTCTCTCACTCTCAGTTTCACTCCCAGTCTCACTCACTCTCTCACTCACTCACTCACTCGCTCATTCACTCACTCACTCACTCACTCACTCACTCACTCACTCCTCACACTCACTCTCACTCTCACTCACACTCACAGCTCTCACCCTCACCTTCACCCTCACTCACACCCACCTTCACTTTCACTCACTCTCACTCACTCTCACCCACACTCACTCTCACTCACACTCACTCTCACTCTCACAATCACATTCACACTCACTCGCGCTCACACTCACACGCAGACACTCACTCTCCCACTCGCAATCTCACTCACACTCACTCTTCACTCGCATACGCTCTCACTCACACTCACCCTCCCTCTCACTCTCACACTCACCCACACTCCTTCTCACTCTCACTCACTCTCAATGACTCTCCCACTCCCACTCCCACTCACACCCACTCTCACTCTCACTCTCACACACACACCCACCTTCACTCTCACTCCCTCTCACACTCACTCCCTTCATCACCACCATCACTCGTCCAGACCCCAATGTGTCTAGATCTCTAGACTTTCTGCTTATAGACCTCACACAAACTGTTTGGAATCTTTTGCCTGGATATGTTTTACTTGCTTTTCTTCTTGGTTCGCCTTTTGCGATTGTTCTTCCTTTTTTTCCCAAGAGCGATTGCGAAGGGTTTTTCTTAAACGCAGATACCTTCATCATATTCCTTCATTACATGAGCATCAAGATGAGCGTCAAGACATGAGCATCAAGATAAGAGCAGTATCACACGAGCGCGATCATACAAGTCATACAAGTCTTATCACATGAGCATCAAGACATGAGCATCAAGATAATCTAGATAAGAGCAGTATCGCGCGAGCGTAATGACACAAGCCTTATCGCTTGAACACATGAGTATCATAACGCGAGCGTAAGTGTGATCACATGAGTATCAAGACATGAGCATCAAGATAAGAGCTTCGTAATACGAGCATAATCATACAAATCTTATCACACGAGCATCTCCATCCACATCTCTCTCTTCTCTCTTAAGGCGGCGGGGTGGCGCGGGCCAGGTCAATCGAGAGGCGACCCTCTGCGAAGCTCGCGCGCGTCCGTGAGGGTTTTTGCAACTTTTGAAAATTTTGATTCAACCCTCTGCGGAGATCGGGCGGATCGAGCGCTCAAGCGCTAGGGCTTTTGCTACTTTTGTTTTTCGCCGGGCAACCCTCTGCGGAGATCGGGTGGGTCGAGCGCTCAAACGCTAGGGTTTTTGTTACTTTTGCTTTTCGTCGGGCAACCCTCTGCGGAGATCGGGTGAGTCGAGTGCTCAAACGTGTGGCGAAATGCGGATTTGTTTTTCGTCGGGCAAACCCTCTGCGGAGATCGGGTGGGTCGAGCGCTCAAACCCTAGGGCTTTTGCTAACTTTTGTTTGTCGTCGGGCAACCCTCTGCGGAGATCGGGTGGGTCGAGCGCTCAAACGCTAGGGTTTTTGCTACTTTTTGAGACTTTGACGCTTGACTTTTGGAGGGACTCGTACGAAACGCTCGTTTTGGAGACTTGGATGCGTGACTTTTGCACGAAGTCTCGTACGAAACGCTCGTTTTGGAGACTTGGATGCGTGACTTTTGGAGGAAACGCTTGTTTTGAAGACTTGGCGCTTCACTTTTGGAGGAAGTCTTGTACGAAACGCTTGGTTTGGAGACTTTGGAGCCACGAAACGCTCGTTTTGGAGACTTGACGCGTGACTTTTGGAGGTGAAGTCTTGTAGGAAACGCTCATTTTGGAGACTTGGCGCTTTGCTTTTGGAGGACATCTCGCGCAAAACGCTCGCTTTGGAGGCTTTGACGCGTGACTTTTGGAGGAAGTCTCGAACGAAACGCTCAATTTGGAGACTTGGCGCTTCACTTCTCAGACGTGGCCAGTTTGTAGTAAAAATGTAGTATGGGATAGTGCTTTTCGGAGCTGGACTCGGAAGTGGCCAGTTTGTAGTGCAAATGTAGTAGGGGAAACAGCATTGCGGGGCTGGCCTCAGAAGCGGTTGCTTTTTGTCTGTGACAGACGGTGTGGCGAAATTACGTCCGCGATGTCGCTGCGCCATTCGGATTTGCACAGTCTTGGTGGAAGGTGCGTTTGCGTGGCGCCGTGCCACTGGGGAGGGCAATGCTCTCAGGCCACACTGTTGTCTAGTTTGGATTTCCTCTTGAGCCTTTCTTCCTTTGTAATGTTCTTTTAATTGGTTTTCGCTTTGATTGCATTTTCTTGTTTGCTTGAAATTGTTCTTCTTTTTTGCATCCATTTCTCTTTCCTTAGATGTTGTCATTCTTTAGACCTGAGAAGGGAGCGACGAAAGTCAGCCCTCGTAGACACGCAAAGCAACGTTTCGCAGTCAAGAAGTTCCCAGAAGCACCGTGAGAGTGTCCAACATTACTGCCGGGACCCTGATCAGACCCTTTGCTGGGGAAGAACCATACACGCAACTCGACATCCTGCCGTCCACTTGAGCGGTATCATGGCCACTCGGCGAAAACGCTCTACTCAACCCATTTGCTCTGTTTGCTCTTCTGTGTCTTTGCATGTGTCTTCCGTCTTGTCTTTTGACCGTTCTTCCTGTTGTTTGAACGCTTCCTTGTCTTTTGCAAATTGTCTTTAGACCTTTCTTCCTTTTGACCATTATCGGTTTCTTTCTGCTGTTTTCTTTTCGCCTGTTTTCTTCTTCTTATGTCGTTTTGTTCTTTGTTTTCTTTTAGGTCGTTCTTCCTGTTTCTAGTTTATTGCTATGCTCAAGACCGTTCTTCCATGTTGTTGTCCTTTCTCTTGAGACGTTTGATCCTTTTGTCGTATTATGTCTTTCTCCTTTTCTTAGACCTTTCCTTTTTCTGTTTCCTTCGTTTTTTCTTTAGAGCATCTTCAGCATCTTCCTTTATCTAAATATACGATGTGTTCTTCTTTAGTTGACTCGATGTCACGCTGCCGAAACGGAATCACCCTCCGTCTTCCCACCTTCCGCAGCTCGTGGGCGCTACGTCGGCTCATGATGCAAAACGCCACTGCTACGGCCTGATCGGCATTGCGTCGCTCTTCCTTGTAGACCTTTAAACCTTTCTTCCTTCCTTCCTTTGGCAATTTTCCTTGTGTTTCGAATCGTTCCTTTTGGTCTATCAGACTGACAGGCTATCAGTGACTTTGGATGTCTTTTTACCTCTCTCCCTGCTGTTTCTCCCTCTCACAAGTGGCTCTCTCATCTTCTCTCTCTCTCTCTTGCTTTTCAGCTTGATGCGTTTAAAGTCCTTAACTTAAACTCCTGTTCCTTGGTTCTGACCTCATCAGCGCTGGCCACGGAGCGTCGCTCCTCCCGGGCACGAGCATCGCACAACCCACAAGCGGCGACCTCCGCACGGCGTCGGATGGGCTCTGCATAGCGGTAGCGAAACAGCACCTGCAAAGCGGACAATTCCGTCAGAAATCAGATTTGTCAGTTTTCACCTGTGCTGTCGTTCAGTTTGCTCGAAGTTTCCGAAGAGTTCACCTAGATAGGGAAACAACATGAGAAGAGAAGTGGACCGGGCACATTGTCGAATCGGCCTGACACAAAAGGGTAAATGTTTCCTTGAACTCCATGATCTTCTCTTTTGATGGAGACGTCATCAGATTGTGCAAGTAGGCCTGAGTGAGCTTGGACAGAACCTGTCAACAAGACATGGACAGCTGGCAATGGTAAGAATTGATGAATCAACTCAACAAGATGTAGTTCCAATCTTTGCTGGCCTCTTTCAGCTATCAAATTGTGGATTGTAAAAATCCTGGAAATGAATGAGCGTTGTGCAAGTGCAACGGTTGTCTGCGGTTGTTCAATAGTTTTCCCCAGCCGATCCTCAATGGAATGCCTCATATACGCATCCTGCGAAACGTGGGATGTTACTAGTAGCTCCTAGCTACTAGTAATAATGCCCTTGTTACTAGTAGCGATGGTCTTGTTACTTGTAGTCAAGAAGGTTGCAGCATAACCCGGTCGTTTTGGCAGTTTGTTGATGATCTGATGGAGCCCAGCATGGACTCTAGGTTTCAGTTCGCATGCGTTGTAAAATACAGTTTTCTATGAGGGTTTTGTATGACATGTGCAAACTCTTTGCAACACCACGCCAATGCCATGCCTTTCATTTCAGCGGCTCGCTTTGCAGCAAAGTTTGCCCACAGTTTGGAACAGATGGAGGAGGGCACAGAAACACAACCACAAAGCAATAACAACTGCGCGAGCATAAAACACCTCGGCACAGCTGCTCAGCAGAAAAAACCATAAACCACCACGCACGCACATGTTATAGCATAATATTTCCAATGGTTCACAGCGCGCAGGATGGATGGATGGATGGATGGATGGATGGATGGATGGATGGATGCTTTATTTGTTTTTTGGGTGGCTCCTTTGCTGCATGTGCTCTTGGGTCGTTTTGACCCGTGGAGGTGGCCGCCCTGCTTAGGAAAAGTCGACCTGGTAGAGCTCATCTTCAAACTCCGGCGGCTCAGCCAGGGTTAGGCTGGTGTTCATGGCCACATCAGCCTGCGCCGGTGCGTCGTCCTGCGCGGCCTTGTCTGAGCTGCTCATGGTCTCATCTGTTGATGCCTGCTTGTCGTTTGGCTCTGCACTGTCGGAGATGCTGCTGGCAGTCTCCGGGAAGAGTGCTCTAGGCCGCAGGTCGCTTGAAGTGGTGGCCTCCTCTCTTTGGGGCTGTCTTCGGGCTGACTGCCGGCGGCCGCTCGCGCAGGTGTGGCCGTGCTGGTGGTGAGCTGGGTGGGAAAGTACGTTCGCAGTCCTGGGCTCTTCTTGACCGGTGCGCCCTTGCAAGCCTTCTGTAAGGCGTGTGTGATGATCAGCCGATTGTTTTTGTCTGTGAGGATGGCCAATCCACAGTACTTGCAGGTGACCTTAGTGCCAAATTGCCATAGGCAATGTGTGGGGTGCCCAATGGCCTGGTAGGTTTCATCGATACATGGGCTGTTGATGAACTCAGTCCATGTGGCCTCTTTGGATCGTTTGAGGACGGCGCTCCCACAGTGCTGGCATTTGATGTAGCCTGCCGTTTCGAGGAAGTGGTGTTTGTCGTCCTGTCGCTCCTGTGGTTGGTTGTGGAGTAGCTCTTGAATAAGCTGGGTTCTGGCTGCCTTCTTTGGAATCTTGCGCTCTTGGTGTTCGTGCGCTTCACCAGCAGGTGGATGGGCGCGCTTTCCTTCACACGCCTCAGCAAGCTTCTGCTCAATGGCGGCCGCTGTGAGCTCTTGGTGGATGCGCGTGCTGCAGTGGGCACATTGGTATCCACTTCGTTGTGTGGTCCAGTGGTGGCCATCTTCAGTGGGCTGTTCTGTGCGTTGGTTGCCTGGGGCCTCTTGGGCTTGTCATGGATCTTGTAGATGGCACAGATTCTCTCGATGGCGTGTTCGTAGACTTGCTTGTGGTCCTCATCAAGTGCTTCCTTGGTCTTGTCATAGAGCTCTTTTGCTCTTTCCCGAGCTGTCATGCCTGCATCACGTTGTCGTCTGCGAAGGTGAGGCTCCGCACCAAATTGGGCACTGACGCACAGTCCTGTGACCTTTTTCTTCGTTTCAGGGGAACATCACCTGGCATGCCATTCCAGACAATCTCAAGCAGGTCGATGCTTCCTTTTGGATCTTGGTCTTTTTGAGGGGTTTCATGCGGCTCAGTCCATGTGGAGGTCCATGGGCCTGTCAGCTTGGAGGGTCTTCCCTGTCCCTTGCCTTTGCGGATGGCCACCAGTGTCCACACTTACGACATCTAGTATCTGGCTTCAGTTTGTCACTCCAGATCCAGTTGGTGCACTGAGCATGGCTACACACCACAAAAGGTCTGCACCAGGATGGAGACTTGACGGATGTCATCGTGCCGGATGGAGCGGTCCACTGTGTGCTACTAGATGCAGAAGTAGGGCAAGGATGTTAAGCTCTGTCTCGATCTGGCCTTGCTCTTCCTCTGTGATGTTGCCCCAATCCCGGTGAGGAAGTCCCGAAAATTGATGATGTAGGTGCCTTTGTCCCTGAGGTAGCGATGCCGTGGAATGTGTCCTTCTCTATAACGGGCAAAGCTCCAGTCACGAGGGTGATCTCTGGCCACCGAACGATGTGCGCGTGGGGATTGACGCACCTGAAGGACTTGGTGGGCGGCCTGCTTGATCTGAGACGGCTTGAGCCATGGATGGATGGATGGATGGATGGATGGATGGATGGATGGACGGACGGACGGACGGACGGATGGATGGACGGATGGATGGATGGATGCACAAAACAGGTTTCGCAGCACACATGATGTGCAATGCAACAGCAAGTATATTGCGAATGTGATTCGGATAATTTACAAGTACTAGTACTAGTCAATGCACGAAACACAAAGGTCCGATATCAACTTGCATCTGGAAAAGAGCGACGCACCAAACAAAACCCCCACACACACCCATGCGAACCCAGCATGAACAACTTAATCCAGCATCATGTATAACATAGCTTGAAACTAAAACACTAACGTTCCCGCCGTGAGTGGGGCTTATCGCTGTGTTGAAGAACTCCCTTGACATGGTGGAGAGGGGCCTGTCTCCCACTCCCACAACTGCTCTTTACTAAATCGGTCATCGCTGGTTTTGCCGGCTCCAAAAAGTGCCGACTGTTGCGTCCGTGGCACTTCCAAGCCAGCAAAAGCAGTGGAGCGGACACCCTGTGCAGCATCAGGAAGGTGGAAGAACATCCTGCTGGATTTCCAGTGAATGAACTCTGGAACCATGGCCTTCAGCGGAGGGCAACAGAGCGGCGGAGCATGCTGATATGTCCCAATTGCTAATGTTTCTTTAACCGAGTCACGTGAGCCACATATGCCAAAGAGTAAACCAAAGGCAGCGGAGGAAACGAGGAAGAGGAAAAATCCCCACATAACATGGTGAAGTGATAGTGCTTGAAAGCAGCTTCGCGAGTTTCATGCGTCCCATCTTCAATATATACATGCTGCGCTGAAAAATCTCGTTTCACCATCCTCAGAAAGGAACGCAAAAGTACAATATCAGAAACCTGAAAGATCAAGTGACTGGCAGGCAAGCAGCTTTGGGCTGAGCTGTGTATTGTTGGCCCCTGGGCAATAGCTCTCCGGCGACAAGAAGTAGACGGACAGGACGTACTTCTTTTTGAAAGCAACTGCGGCGGGAAATTCCTTGGCAGTCAAAGCCGGGTCGCAAAGAAATGAAAACGCTGCGAGGCAGACAAATCAAAACCTGCCATAAAGGCAGAAGCGAAAACTGAAGCTAGACACTCAAGAGGGTGAGTTGGGCCAGCTGGTGCACTGAAGAGGCTTTACTGTGAATTTTGCATAATGGCAAAACTGGTCCAGAGAACGTAGGAACGAAAAAAAGAATTCCACAAAAGAAAGAACCTTGTCGCAGGATGATTTCGTGCGGAAAACACTTATATAAGTGGATAAGTAATGAAAAGGAAGAATTGGTCGAACTATGCCGAGCTACCGGAACCGCATCAAAGTAAAACCGTCGAGGAGATTTGGGTGAAGCAGTGCCAGGCGCAAAATCCTCGACATGCTTTCTGAAGCCACAGATCCCACAGAAAGCAGACGCAGCACATCAAATCTTAAAAGTCGAAGGAAGAGTTATCTTCAAGACTTTTGTGGCACTGTCCTGGTCTGGCACACTTGCAGAGAATACAGGCAACAATGCGTCCTAACAGGCCAAGGCGCAAATGCCAAAAGGATTCTGCAGATTCTCTTGATTTTGGAGAGACAAGTAACAAGGATGCTACTAGTCACAAAGGGCATCGCTAGTACGAGCAAGGACCCTACTAGGGGCTACTACTAGTAACAAGAAGCTACTAGGAACAAGAAGCTACTAGGGGTTCCTGGCCATACTACTAGGAGCAAGGACGCTACTAGGGGACATTCTTGAGGAGTTCTTGGGGCCCAATCGCCGTCCAGGCGTGGCTTTGCGCATCGAGCCATGGCCTCGGCCTTCTGGTTCCCAAACGCTTTTGTAAAAACACAGTAACTGCAGTAACGCTTTAATAGATGTTAGTCATGGTAGGACCTGATATCGTGGAGTAAGGCATGACATGACCATTTGTTTTTTTAATAGCAGCAATGTGATGAGTCTGACAGAGCCAAGGAAAGATTAGCATGGTGCAAGCAACTCTAGATTGGAAAACAGTTGACGACAAGTTGCTCCACCTTGTGTGACGCTACTTGGACATTGCGCAAGCAGCTGGTGGCATAGTGTTTGTGTGACTCGTTTCTGAATCGGGATGCCTCAGAGTTATCAACAAGCGTACCAGAGACGACTTGGTAGTATTACCGTGCCTCAATGGCACACCTGTGTTCGATACCAGATCTTTCGCCAGATACGGCAAAACACCTAGAACCATGATCTTTGGAGAATGTCTGGAGGCTCGGTACCTTGTCCTTAGTCACGTGGAAGGCATGGAATCTTGGAATCTTGTCTAGCCGGACACTGCACTCACTTGCGCACTTCACCGCTTTAAATCCTCAATTGCGCACTCATCATCCAACACTGAGGGGTGGGTGGGGAACTTGCATTCATCTTCCAATCTGGGGTGCGGCAATCATCTTCTGACTCAGGGTTTCAAGTGCACAAACGAGTGCTTTAAAGCCCTTACCAGCCTTACACCGCGACGTAAAACCCTTGGCCCCTGCCTCTGCTTCACTGAGCACACCATGCACGCTGTTCAGCTCTGGTGACATCTGTCCAGAAACATAAAGGACGTGGCAGCCAGGCCTGAGAGCTTGGTCCCATAGGCCGCATCCATAGTAACACGGGCATCGCTACTAGGAGCAAGGACGCTACTAGTAGCCCCTGGCCTTACTACTAGGAACAAGAAACTACTAGTAACAAAGGGCATCTCTACCGAACACAAGGATTTCAAGAGCGTGTTCAATTCAAAGCCCTTTACAATTTTTACGTTGATCAAGCCTTGGGTAGACTTGACCAGGCTGAACTGTCCCTTGCCAATTTAAGAGAGCTAAAAGGCTTTCTTAATTCTTGAACTGACAATTGGCGTTTGACCTGATGAATGCCAGGTGCATTGCCTTCTTGAGTTCAGAATTGAAAAAATCAACAACAAAATTGCACCAGCATAGACCCAGATAGCTAGGCAGAATCCCACGACCTGTTGACATGCGACTGGCTGGAACAAGAATGTACGCAGCCTGCGCAGCCAGCTTACGGCACCTCCACAGAGCGCGCAACCAGCTGACACCAGCACTGGTGCGCTTTGCCAGCTGACAACACCGCCAGCGGCGCCAGCACCCGACCAGCGCCGCCGCCCATCTTAAACGTGCGCTCAGCCAGCTCACAGCACCAGCACCCAGGACCACAGACCCTTTCGAAAGCGCGTGCAGCCAGCTCATTCTTTTTTGCAGCAAGAACCCCATAGCTATCCCTCCTTGGGAATAACAACGTATGATCTTGCGCGTATAAGTTTATGCGCACAAACGGCAAAGCCCGTAGGCTTCACTCGCCCAAGGCCAAGCAGTATCCAGCACGGCGACGACTACTGTGCGTGTAGCATGCTGAAACATGCTGAAAAAAAGGTCGGTTGAGAGCCTGACGTTGCGCATAGAACATTATACGTCCAAAAGTACGCGCGCAAACAGTACAGCCCTTGACACAGCTGTCGGCCAAAACAGAGCCTGAAGAGCGTAAATACCCCACGGGGCTAATAGACAAAGAACGCTCGAGCGACAACACCGTATGCTGCTGCGCGCATAAGTTCACGCGGCCCATGACTGCTGGCACTTCATTGTCAGAAGCGGCGGTTGGTCGCCCTTCACTGCTACAAACGGCGGTTTGTCACCCTTCACTGTCAGAAGCGGCGGTTATCACTTCAATGTCAGAAGCGGGCACCAGCACCGAGCACTGGCACGCCAGCTCACGAGGCCCAGACCCAGTCTCCACCACGCGCACTGTCTCCACCACGCGCACTACCCAGCACCGGCATCCTGTCTCCACCACACGCGCAGCCAGCTCACAGCACCCACCACCAGCACCACAGCCAGCTCACAGCACCCAGCACCAGCGCCACAGCCAGCACCAGGACCAGCACCCGGCGCCGGCACCCAACACCCGCGCCCTGTCTCAAAAGCTCATTGTCATTCGAAGTAAAAGCCCATAGCTGTCGCCATCTGTGGAACAAAAATTCGAAAATAGACCCCCTCACATATGCAAGCTACACAACTTGTAAGGACCCCAAGGTCACACGTAAGAACGAAAGAATCTCGAGAAAACACCTGATACTCCATGGTGTTCTGATTGTGTGTGTGGCATTTATATGTTGCCACAGCCTGGGCCCACCGAAGTGGGTAGCTGGAGGCAACTTTCGGGGCGCCAAAGCGCAAAAGTGTTCGAAGCAAACAGCTTCGCCACCAACCCTGCTGCACGGCGTGCAGTCCATTGATGACATCTTCCCGTTTCCGACAAGGCAGAAATTGAATAAAAGGAATCACCAAGCACATAAGGTCAGCTGAGAGCTGATGACTCGACATGCCTACGCAAATCAAGCAGAGCTTGCTTCTGTCTTGCAAGAGCAAAACTACTCCAAGCCATAGCATCATCGACTCGACGAGCCCAAGCACTCAAAGAATCGGCGCAGGGCTGCGCAACGGCCTGAACTGCCGCATCAATTCTGTCATTGTAAGTCCGCCAGACAGCAGGGGAGTGGCCATCTGGCGGTGTCCAATCTTTGGAGCGGCCGTGGGCCGGCGCCCATGAAACTACACTTTCAGGACTGAGCAAAGCAATGGCGCGCCACATGCCAGATGCCCAACGTGGCAAAGATCCACCACGCCGCACCGTCGCAGCAGCGAAGACAACGGCTTGTGAGTCACATAGAACACGCACTCTCACACCAGTGAGATGTGCTGCATGCAAAGCTTGAAACACGGCCCAGGTTTCAGCAGCAAAAATATTCTGGTCGCAACCTTTTATCGGAAAAGCAAAAACCTGACTTTCAGTCGCGATACCCCAAGCCGCCCGCTTCTGCGAGTGGCGAGTTTTGCAGCTACCATCAGTAGCGACCAGAATCATTCCATCAAAGAGCGCCATCTGCGAAATGAAAGCGGAGCAAATTTCAACAGGAGGGCGCACGTCATCCGGCAAGAGATCAGGCGGCTGCGGCGGCGGAGCTATGCTACGCACCAACAACCTCTTTTCGACACCATTAGCAGGTGCAGAAGTGTGTTCAGGCAAGTTGGTATCAGGGCAAAGCCAAGTGACATGCCGGCATGAAGGCCAATCTGCACCACACACACAAGACACGCGATTCAAGTCAAATCTCTTGGCAACTCTGGAATCCAAGGCGAATTCTGGGTCAAGCTCGGGCGTCAGGAAGCAAGCCCACATCAAATATCTGGATCTCCCAGATTGAGGATAACCCAACATGGTTGTCTCAACAGCATATCTCCATTTTTGCAAGAGTTTCTTGGGAATGGTGGTCCAAGCACCTGTGTGCGAAAACAAGGACAGGACAAGTGACCTCACAAGCCGCCTCTTGCTCCAGTGCCTGTGAGTGGCCATTCGAAGGCGCCTGAGACGCGCTTGCACTTTTGCAACAACGGCAGGCTCAATTGGTCTACGGCGAGCCTTACTAGAAAAGTAATGAACCCCCAACAACTTGAAGTGGGTAGCCATCTTCCACTTCCTGTTACAAGCAACGTTCCATGACTGAAAAGCTTGCAATTGGGCATTTCGGCACTTGTAGAAGAGTTCACATTTAGAACTGTTCAACCTGAGGCCCAAAACCTGGTCAACGCTCTGCGAAGCATCAAGAGCAAGCTGCAGTGGCTGCCGCTCTTTACACCACAAAGTCCTGTCATCAATATAAACTGAAAGTTGGACACTGGGCGATTGTTGCTGCACATACCGACACCAGACAGTCATCAATCCGGCGAGCAAAGCACAGCTACTTGGACATCCTTGCAAAATGCCACGGGTGCATCGAATGCGTTCACGGCTGCAAAAACCTTGCCATTCGAAACTTTTGACTTGCATGCGATAAAAGCATTTCAAAATGTTCACAACTTTGGCAGGAGCGCCAAATTTCTCCCAAACAATGAAGGCTTGCTCGATATTCACACGATCAAAGCATTTGGCAACGTCGATCTTTGCCCCAAAAAGAGTGCTCTCCTGCAAAGCTTCATGAAGGTCATCATGTACGATGGTGGAACTTCTCGCCTTCAAACCACCGACTAACTCCGGCGGCGCCCATTGGTCAATCCAAGGGGACAACTGGTGCAAAATGCAACTAATGCCAAGGCGCCAAGCAAGGCAAGCGATGCTAATAGGTCTGAAACCGACATCCTTAGGGATAAGGACACAACGCACTTGCGCCCATTGAGAAGGCAGAATCCCAATGTCCAAAATTCTACGCCACAAGGCGGAGAATGCAGAATAAAACCCTTCGGGCAACAAAAGCCACTGGTCCGCTTTCCAACCGTCTGGTCCGGCCGCTTTTCCAGAAGCTTGTTTGGTGAGTCTCACAAAGCTAGTATCAGCGAAAACAGGCTCCGGACAAAAATACTCGTCAGCACGTATCCAGGAAAGAAAAGGCAGAACCCGTTCAGGCTCAACATTGCTATGCGGGCACCAAATGGCCTGCCATTCACGACCAAATTGCTCAGCTTTGAGCTGCGGATGCACTGGAACAGAGTCAAGGCCTGACGGGGCAATGAGCTTATCCGCGCCCTTGACCCAACGAATAAGGGCTTGCTCATTCTCATTCATGTCGGTTTGCCACCTAGCTAACCTTCTTTCTGACGAAGCATCACTCTCACGCTGAATGCATTGCAGAAGGATATCCGGAAGGCGAGGAGACAAAACATCGAACTCGGTGAGCTCAGGGAAAATTCTAGCAAACCTGCGCAGCTCTTCGCGCACTTTGTTCAGTAAACGCCAAGGCCAAGAAGGTTTCTGCAACTCTAGAACCCGCCTATAAGTTCTTCGCAGTCTACGCTCAAGGGTGGTCTGCAAAGTGTCGGGCTTGACAGGAGCCCGAGGCACCTGACTTGGAGCTGGCACGGAACTGCGCTTACGCCCTGGCTTAGCTTGTAAGCAAATCTCAGCTGCATTGCTCAGAAAGATCCAAGCTTCTTCGATTTGGCTTTGTTCCAGCAAAGTGTGAAAATGTTGCAAATCAAAATTGCGACCCTGCAATTCGTTTGACACAGGCTCAGGGGCTAACAAGGCTCTGGCAGGCTGAATCCTAAAGGAAGCTTCCTCTGCAAGCAGAGGAAATGAATAAAACACAAGGTCATGGTCAGCAACTCCAGGGACTTGACCCCTGTCTGAAGGAACTAACAACATGGAGTGCAAAGCGTAATCAATGTGCCTACCTCCAGTGCGAGTGGGCGCCTGGAGCTGCAATGGCCCCGCAATTTCATCTGCCAAATGGAGCCGCCCTCCCCTCAGTGGAGAAAGCGCAGGTTCCTCATCAGGCACATTGTTCCAATCACCTATGAATAAACAATCTTCACCCATCTGCGCAGTTAGTTCAAAAAGCAGATGCCCTAGTCGGCAGGCACTTGAGCGATCCGAAGCATGCAAGTACAAGTTGACCAAAACAAAAGGTCTTCTGGCAGGCCTATGCACTTGCAGTACTTGCCAACGGCCACTGTGGCACTGCAGTTCTGGATCAATTTGGGAAGGCAAAGCTTTCTTCTCGACGGGCCACCGGCTCAAAACAGCAACGCCGGCAGTTGGTGCCCCCTGCGAGTCTTGCGCGCAAGGGCCGGGCAAAAAGGTCCAGCCTTGCTGCTTGGCAGCATGGTGGGCTGACAGCATGTTATCCTCGGACAAACGGACCTCTTGCAAGCACAAGATATCTAACGAGTTCTCACGAGCTAAAGTTAACGCTTGAGCCATCTTTCCTTTGAGGGTGCGAACATTCAAGGTGCCAACCACCAGAGCACCTTGCCCAGAGGGCGAACTGCCCTCGGATTCTCTCTGGCTAGGTTGCGTCATGGCTTGGAGCCAGACGCCACTTCCCCTGTGAGCATATTGAGAAGCTCACTCAGCGATTGCAACTTGCTTCCTTTGGCTTGTTTCATTTGGGCTTCAAGGAATCGCACCAGCTTCATGCGTGCCGGACTCCAAGTGACCCTACCTTTACAGGCGGCTTTCAGGATGGTGCTTTGCAAAGCAGCGACACGACAGCGTGTTTTGCAGAACATGAATCTCTTGGGCGGCTGGCCCGGAATCTGCAAAGGAACAATGTCATGGTCAACAGGCGCAGCCTCTGGGACAGAGTCAGAGGGCTGCAGCTTTTGAATGACACTTTCAAGAGCCTGGCGATCAGCACCGCCGGGTGCAAAACGAGAGCGGCACTTCTTCAAACGAGCTACGAGCATAGCCCGTTTTGGACCTCCTTTGCTGGCTTTCTCGCAAGGGAGCTTTGACATGGCCTCAGCACTGGGCGACAAAGCAGTACACTTCTTGCAGAAGATTTTGTTCAAAAACCGTCTGCGCTTTTTCCCCTGACCCGTGTAAGGCAACTGCAAAATTTCGCAGTCATGAAGCCCTTGCTTACCACACTTCAAGTCAAGCAATTTCTTGGCGTTGCCAGCTGAAGTCTTGGCTGACGTTGCCCTTTGCGCACTCTTGGCGCTTCCTCGCTTGATCAAAAACCTCTTCGTGGCGGCTCTGGGGTGCACCTCTTTGGCGTGCGCCAAGCGCATCTTGCGGAGCGCATCCAAATTCTTGACCTCAATAGGAGTACCTAGATCACAAAGAGGACACTTCCAGTTGCACTTGTCCTTGCTGTACGGAATCAGCTTCGGCAAACGAGGGTTCAAACTAAGCTGACTGGCCTTCTCAGGATGCCAGCTACGAATGTGGTCCTTCTTCACAGTCGTCCAATGCTTTTTGAAACCAGTCCAAAAACCACAGATGGGACAAGTCCAGTCTTGTCTTTTAGCGCTCGCAACAGCTTCAGCAGGCTTAGACTCATCATCACTACACGATGCAGGGTCACCACTCAAGCTAGCAATGTCACTCGGAAGAGACTCGCCAAAGGCACTTTCAGGCGCGCTATTGCTGTTAAGACCAGCAGCGGCACTAGATCGCTTCTGAGCATGTCTATCATGCGGCAACGAAGGCAAGGCTGACACACGCGTTGGCGCCTGGCTTGCAGAGCCACGCGACTGGGATGCCCTCTCCGGTGGCAACGCAGAAATCCGGGCGGCGCCAGACACTGACTGCCCCGAGCTCATAGACTTGCCTCCTCCACGACCTCCTTGCATGGGGCCATTGGCTGCGTTGGCTCGCAGCTCAGGATTCAGAGGTACTCGTAATGCTGGTCCTGGAACCAAAGACAAATGTATCCCTTTTTGCTAGACTGATTGTAAGCCTCAGGTTCGGCGAGAAAAGGACAGAAAACAAAGATTGTTCGGTCGAAGTGCGCTGCAGCAGCAGCAATTTCGAGACAGCCTGCATACGCTCCAGCCTTGCTGACTAAGCGAAGGTACTCTTCCCAGGAATCACAGATTTCTTCATCCGGCCTCAAATTGTCCCACCAAGGTTGGTATCGGTCGGCATGGCGCTTCAAATGAGCAATCACAGCAGCACGAATAGCACGCGCATGCTTTGGATTGTCAGGGTTCAGACCTTGCGCAATGGACTCGAAAAGGCAATTACCTTGCGCTGAGTTGGGCACCCGGGTCAGGCCCTTTGGCACATCTCTCACAACCGCCCTTTTCTTAGGCGGCGGCTTGGCAGCCTTCTCAGGCGAGCCACCCATTCGCTTGGTGGCTGCTTTGGCTGGCGACGTCATTTCCACATCCTTTACCTCACTTGGCTGAGAAGCTTCAACTGCCAAAGGCGGTTGCTTCTCAGTGGCTTCAGCGGAAGCGGTGTCCTGCGAATGCCCTGCAGCAGCTTTGGGCTTCACCTTAACAGGGGAAGCAGCATAAAACGAAGATCGCTGAGCTGGCTGAACCTCAGCAGATCCACGGGTCTGACCAAAGGCAGGCGAGAAGGACAGCGACGAAACAGTCTTGAGCTGCTGGGTCTCACTACGCATTCTCTTCATTGGGCTGAAAGCAGCAGCAGTGATTGTGATGTTGCCAAAAACCAGCTCAACAAAGTCAGTCCCTTGCGCGCAGTCGGCAGTGAAGAAAAGGCACGTCGTTCGACCATGTGGCTTCCTGGAAGTGAGTTGCAAATTGCTCAAACCAGCAGCCTCAAGTTCAGGGACGAGGCTTTCGTGACTCCAATCTCTCGGAACACCAGTGACCTTCCAGGTTTTGACCTTGGTCGTAGCGACCTTCTTGTCGCTGGCTGGCGGGACTCTGACTCCGAGATTCTTCAGGCCTCTGGCCAAGCCAAGGTTGCCAGCCATGCTTAACACTCTTGCGGCATAAACATGTCCAGATTCATCCGGCAGACGCTTCTCCCACCGCACTTGGCAGGTGGGGATGTCAGGCTGATCCCAACGCAAGGGTTCAATGAACCAGGCTCCTTGTCCGGACAGACTCAAAAGAGTTTTGGCAGCAGAAAGCTCGACTCTCATGAGGGCAGTGATCAAAGCCTTGCCCCCCCCTTTGGAGGACTGCAATTGCCAACTCCAGATGTCTCGGATTTGTCTCTGCATCGCAGCCGGGACATTGGCATGGATCCATTTGTGGGCAGCCCCACCGGCGTTGTCAACAATGCCACGCCAGCGCGGATCCTCATGGTACTTGGCTTCTGTAGAAAACCTCAAAACAACTGTCGGAGCAACACTAGGTGCAGACTCTACAGTGCGAACTTGCTTCTTCAGCTTAGGGCAGCTGACTCCAATGGAAAAGACATGCGACATGCGAGGGACGAGCTTGCCACGTGTTTTTCCTGGAACTTGCGTAAATTCGCCAGCAGACTTGGGCACATCAACACCCTTGGTAGAGGGCAACACAGCAGTGACGCCGACATGGCGGTCTGGCTGGGCCTCACTTTCAACCAAAGTCTTCAACTCTTCCAGCTCACATTCACTGGAAATCAAAGCTACCGCTTTGATGGGCTTCTCATCGGATCCCAAACGTTGCGCAATTTCATCAAAAGACAAAATTTCACCATCCCAATCCGCAGCACGCAGCTGCCAAACAGGCTGGAACGGAGGGTCACCCTTGGCATCTTTAACCACATCAGCAAAAGTGCGTGGTGCATGGATTGGCGGCGATGTTTCCTTAGCAGTGTTTGCTTTGCTTGCGCCAACAGGCTTGGTTTGCTTCTGTTCCTCCTTGCCCGCAGTGGCGGGCTGACTAGGCTTTGCAGCGACTGGCTGACTTGCCTTGTTCGTGCGCACCGGTTTCTTCTTCCGCTTTTTCTTCAACTTTGGTTTGTTGCCAAACAGGCTATTCTGCACAAAACTTGACAACAGACTGGCAAAATTAACATTGTTGCTGGCACCCTTGTTGCACGAGGCAAACTGCGACAAGAGAGACTGCAACAAAGTAAGCAGCTGCACTAATTGTGACACAATGTCTTCACTCAGGCCCGGGCCAAAATTGCCAAACTGAGACTCCTTTTCAGAGCGCTTTCGGCGAGTCGCCCTGGACCCTCCTCCATTGCCATTCATAGAATGGACACGCTTGTTGCGCACCTTTGCAGCCAAGTTCCACACATAAGCAGTGAGATCATATGCAGATTGCCATGTAAGGAGACACTTCGGTGGACATTTCGCTGCCGCCGTCGCTGGCGGCCCCGCAGATACGAAGGTGGGTAGATCCACCAGGGCGTAGTCCACATATCTGCATGGTGTTCTGATTGCTGATTCGCTCAGCTTCCCTGGAAGTAGCGGCACCCTGACTCACCGGCACCGGCACCCTGTCTCTGCAACGCACCAAGCCCGCACAGCCAGCACCCAGCACCGGCACCCGGCGCCGGTACCCTGTGTCCACCACGCGCACAGCCAGCACCCAGCACCGGCACCGGCAACCTGTCTCCACGCACCAGCACCGGCACCCGGCACCCAGCACCATGTCTCCACCACCTGCACAGCCAGCACCCAGCACCAGCACTGGCACCCTGTCTCCACCACGCGCTCAGCCAGCTCACAGCACCAACACCGGCACCCGGCACCCAGCACCGGCATTCTGTCTCCACCATGTGCACAGCCAGCTCGCAGCACCAGCACCGGCCAACCTGCCTCGAAAGTGCGCACAGGCAGCTCATTGTTATTTGAAGTAAGAACCCCATCATAGCTTCGCTATCTGGGAACAACGGTTTTTTTAAATCACAAATTATGTTGTCAATATTTTATCTTCAACAAAAGATGCGACTCAAGTTGACTCAAGACTTCCAAGTGTCTCCAAAGGCTCTGTTCCGTTGGCAACGCGCTCGGGCGCCACCAAAAACACAGAGGGATCAGCTCTTTGTCCGAACCCGGTTCCATCACCTCCAAGGGCATTAGTAGCAACAAGGACGCTACTAGTACCTCCTGGCATTACTACTAGCAACGAGAAGCTACTAGTAACAAAGGGCATTACTACTAGTAGCAAACAGCTAAGAGAGCATGAAAGACATTAATCATTAATCTAGAGGAGTTACACATAGCAGCTCAGCACTGACAGCACTCTTCATGCCTTTCCAAGTGGCAATTCACTTCACGCGCAAGCTCGCCATCTAATGGCATCTTTGGCTGCGCTTTGTTGGAAATGTGACGACGAACTTCTGAATGAGAAATGCCAAGAGCCTCGTCCCGATTGGACTAGGAGCGAGTAGCTACTAGGGGCTCCTGGCATCGCTACTAGGAGCAAGGACGCTACTAGGGGCTCCTGGCCGTACTACTAGTAACAAGACGCTCGACGTACTATTCTTGAACTGGACCACGCTCGAAGACTTCACATTGCCGAAGACACTTCGAAGTACTCAGACTTCACATAGCTTGTCCAGGCTGGGTTTGGCTCTAGCGGATGCTTGTCCTCTCATGTGGCAACATGGTGAATGCTTGAGATCCTCGGCTTTGATTTTGCAGCTACTAGTAGCAAGGACGCTACTTGTAATAGCTCCTGGCATTACTACTAGGAACAAGAAGCTACTTACTAGGACTGTTTGGAAACGTTATGGCCTGGTCCGCCAGGCAAAATTGTGGGCGGCCACACCAGTCGAAGCAATGCTCCGCATGATTGCCTTAATTGAATCACTCGCCGCTGCTACGTTCAAAAAACACTCCGTACTGCTGCCACAAACAAGTTTTGGAACAAAAGGATTCCAAAGGAACATACAGTACATGAAAATACACGTTCGCATGTTCTTCAAGCTTCTCAGTTCTGCAACGAAGGTCTTTGAGAGAAACTTGTCATGTTCGCTTCAACTTCAATGTCTCAGCATCAGGCCGGTATAACGCATGAAGCCTGTGCACAACTCCGTCTCATCGCACGCATTTCTGGCAGGTTTGGCTCCACCAGATTTTGGAACATGCGAGCTTCTGTCTGTTCATCAAAACTGATAACTGCCAGATCTATGAAATCGTACTTTAACTTTATACTACTGTAGATGGACGAAATAGTCCAACCCTTGCAAGATGCAATACAAGACAAGCGGAAGAAACGTGGGTAGCTGAGACAGTAGGTGGACAAAGCACTTAAACCCAGCGACTGTGAACCCCAGGGTAACTTTGCAAACTCGTGGTGCTTCGCTCGTGCTTGTTTGTGTCTTTCATCCATTCGGCCAAGCGCGGTTTCTCGTCAACATTGATGCTTTGGGCAGCAGGGAGTTTTCTACGGTGCTGGGAGGGGAGTTGCGCAAGGGGTCACGGTTCGGAGAGGTGCCTGATGTAGGACACTTGCCGACGTTGCTTCTTAAGGGTTTGAATATTCTGTCCATATCATATTGTAGTGTGGTATGTGTTCCTGTTTGGCAAAGACTAGCAAACGGGTTCTAATGCAGAATTTTGTCAAACTACGCTTCTGGTCTGGTAGGCAAGCTCATAGACACGTTGGACATGAACTAGTCTCGTTGTTTTTCCTGCCAGCTAGGATTCAACAAACTCTATGCCCTGAAAAGAAATGGAAACGTCTCTACAACCAAGAAGGCAATGAACCAAAGCAGCGACCAAAGGTCTCCTGGCGCTGATTTCCAAATCATCGCTCCACTGTTCGCCCTTTGTGCCAAGAGGGTGTTGGGGCAGCTCAATGCAGCGCAAACCCGGCAGCTCAACGTAGTGGCCTCGGCCGCAGCGACTTCAACCGGTTTGAACTCAAGTGTGGCAACATGTAGAAGTGTCTGCAACTCCAAGTAACAAGAAACTAGTAGGTTGGAGGCCATCGCTACTAGTAGCAAGAAACTAGGAACAAATCCTTTTTCAACTCCAAGTGTCTACTGCATGGCCACAGCAGCAGGGTTGCTGCACGCAGCATGGTGCGTCCATGCTATCTGTGAGCGCTGGGTTGCTTCTTTGTCCACACTTGCTGTTCTAACCAGCCTTGTCACTGGTGCATGGGTAGTCAGGGCGTTAGGGTCAATCTCACGTGCGTTCCTTGATTGTGTTCCTCGCGGCTCTTCAATGGTTGTTTTTGCCTCTACTAGGTCATAATCGAAACTTTTGTTCATGGAACAAGGAAAAACCATCGACACATTTGTTCATGGAACAAGGATAGAACCATGGACAAAACATGATTTCAACCAGTTAGATGAGAGCTCGATCGTTGAGGAAGTGCTTCATGGGACTCATGTGGCTCAAGCCAATAAACGTCTTCCATCAAAAGTGACAACATGATCTTGAACAAAACAGTGTGTAAAAGCCTCTGACTCTAATCTCTTGTTCTACAGCGTTTGCCTTATCTTATTCCCCAGATAGCGAAGCTATGGGCTTCTTACTTCAAATAACAATGAGTTGCCTGTGCGCGCTTTCGAGACAGGTTGCTGGTGCTGGTGCTGGGTGCTGTGAGCTGGCTGTGCACGTGGTGGAAGCAGGTTGCTGGTGCCGGTGCTGGGTGCCGGATGCCGGTGCTGGTGCTGTGAGCTGGCTGCGCAAGTGGTGGGGACAGGCGCTGGCTGCGGGCTGTGGTGCTGGTGCTGGGTGCTGGTGCTGGGCGCTGGTGCTGGGCGCCATGAGCTGGCGCGCCGGAGTTCGGCGCTGGTGCCCGCTTCTGACAGTGAAGTGATAACCGCCGCTTCTGACAGTGAAGGGTGACAAACCGCTGCTTGCAGCTGTGAAGGGCGACCAAGCGCCGCTTCTGACAATGAAGTGCCAGCAGTCATGGGCCGCATGAACTTATGCACGCAACATCCTACGGTGTTGTCGCTTGAGCGTAAACTTATATGACCTTTACGCGCAAGGTCATACGTTGATATTCCCCAAATAGGGATAGCTATGGGGTTCTTGCTGCAAATAAGAATGAGCTGGCTGCGCGCGCTTTCGAAAGGGTGTCGGTGCTGGTGCTGGTGTTGTGGTCCTGGCTGGCTGAGCGCACCTTTAAGACGGGCGGCTGTGCTGGTCGGGCGCTGGCGCCGCTGCCGGTGTTGTCAGCTGGCAAAGCGCACCAGTGCTGGCGTCAGCTGGTTGTGCGCTCTGTGGAGGTGCCGTAAGCTGGCTGCGCAGGCTGCGTACATTCTTGTTCTAGCCAGTCGCATGTCAACAGGTCGTGGACTTCTGCCTAGCTATCTGGGTCTATGCTGGTGTAATCTGGTCAAGTTGGCAGAAAACTCCACTTCGTGTTACAACTGGCTGTTTATACTGCAATTGAAACAAACCGCAAAGCGCTGCTTCAAAGTGTACAGCCCTAAACTCTGAAATTAGCATCTTCATGACCTGTCATCTTCAGGCGTGCCATTCATCTCAAGGTGCATCTGGCGGGTCATTCAGAACGAAAGATCTGTCTGATACCCGCTACCTTGCAACCTTTTTTGTGTCAGAGTATCTTTGGGCTACACTGGCTACACTCATGTCTGTTTACCATTGGTTCGACACCTCATTGAAATTATTGCCTTTGGCTCATCATGTTCTTGAGGCAAGGGTCACAGTGATGTTCAGTGTCAACAGGTCGACTGCGAGCACTCGCGACGCCTCAGGCTTGGAGGTGTCCTGTAGAAAGATGGATCTGAGCTTGCGCAGCCAAGATGGTTGAAATGCATCCAAGCTAAGAATACGGTCTTGCACCTAGTATGGCGTAGTCATGCGCAGTCGCAAGAAACCTTCTTGCTACGCCTAAGGCGGCACATATGTCAGTGGTAGTGTTCTCGAATCTACTTCACTGTGTTCACGCTTGTGGTTGTGTTGCTGTGTTCCCCGCGTTTCGAGCTTCAAGAATCCTGAGGAATGCATAAAGAATGGTTGCTCTAGGCTGGAGATGTGAGTAAACATACAAACAGAAACCAAGAGCAAGTATAGATCGCTTGAAAAATCGACTGCTTCAGCAAAACATTGAAGTCGACCACCGATGAGGTCAAACAAAAATTAATTGTTTCTTGGCGGCTGGTTGCAAGCGTCATTTGCTATTGAAATGTTATTCGCGTGGCTGCACATTCTTTGCACAGCAGTGCTGTATTACAGCAGTGCTGTGCAACAGCAAACATTGTTTGACCAAGTAAATCAACAAAAGACAAAATTCAGAAGCTGAGAAGCTGGACAAAAATGACAAGCCGTTGGAATCACTAACAGGCACGATGTTCTACCCAGCAGTAATCCTCTTTGGGCAGCTGGAAAAACCTGCATGCCAAGGGTTTGCTTTGGTGTAGCAAAGACCCTAGAGATGCACACACAGCTGCACGACTTTTGCGCGCTTCGCTGAAGCTCGGCTGCTACATGTGAACATCCCAGAACCGAATTCACAGTCCAAGCCAGCGCTTTGAGCAACGCCAGACAAACAATTTGTGTGATGGCATTTCTGTGAAGCACAAGAAAACATATCATAGAAACATCGGGCTTTGCAACCCAAAACATGGTCTTCCCCAAACCCCTCTCCGACCGTTGTTTGTGCCATACTCGTTTTCGGATCTCAGAACCCAAGCTTCACTCGATGCGGACAGGCTCTGTTTGAAGAATCGGCGTGTCGACCACCTGCCACAAAATTTAAAAGAACCAAAATTATCCACGGGAAGGGGAAGGAGAAGGAGGCAGAACGGATGGCAAAACAGAAGGCAGAAGAGAAGCTAGGAACAATACTTGAGCAGCCACGGAAAATGACCACGGGCGCATTTATGTTGCTTTTCTCTTCTTCTCCAGGGTGGGAGAGAGAGGAGAGAGAGAGAGAGAGCGACAAACACGAGAGCGAGGGAAAGAGAGCGGGCGGGTTCATGTGTACTTTGTGCCAAGACTATGCTTTCTTCTACTTGAAGACCTATTGGTGAGCACGCTTATTAACCCCATATCTTGGCCTTTCTTCTACTTGTCCCGGAACCCTGCTACGGGAGGAATATGCAGCCTTGCTTTTGATAGTATGCTTTGGTATTTTCTACATTAGTTTCCCGTACTATATCCCGGCAAGACGCCCCAAAAAGTGTGTGTGTGTGTGTGTGAGGTCTAGAGGTGTAGCAGCAGAAAGTCTAGAGATGTAGACACACTGGGGTCCAGAGAGGTGATGGTGGTGATGAAGGTGGAGATCGTGGTGATGGTGGCGGTGGTGGTGAGTGAGTGAGTGTGACTGTGAGTGTGAGTGTGAGTTTGAGTGAGAGTGAGAGTGAGAGTGAGAGTGTGAGTTTGAGTGAGAGTGAGAGTGAGAGAGTGAGAGTGGGTGTGAGAGTGAGTGAGAGTGTGAGTGAGAGAGTGGGTGAGCGCGTGAGTGAGAATGAGTCAGAGTGAGTGAGAGTGAGAGTGAGAGTGAGAGAAAGAGTAAGTAGAGTGCCATACTCGTTTTCCGATCTCACCCGCGCAGTCGAAAGGCACTTCGAGGATTTCGAGAGGCATGAATTTGCAGTAACAAGAAGCTATTAGAAACAAGTGCATCGCTACTAGTAACAAGTGCCTTACTAGTAGTAACAAGTGCCTCGCTTGTAGTAACAAGTGCCTCGCTAGTAGTAACAAGTGCATCGCTTGTAGTAACAAGTGCCTCGCTAGTAGTAACAAGTGCCTCGCTAGTAGT